AGCATGTCCCTCCCAGAAGCCTCTCGGAAGCCCCCCTGAATCCTCCTAGAAGCCTATCAGAAGCCTCTCAGAAGCCTGTCGGAAGCCTCATAGAAGCATCTCGCAAGGATCCCGAAAGCCTCTCGGAAGCCTCTCATAAGCATCTCAGAAGCCTCTGCCTCTCAGAAGCCTCTCATGAGCCTGTCGGAAGCTTCATGGAATCATCTCGCAAGGTTCCCAAAAACCTCTGCCTTTCGGAAGCTTCGCGGAAGTCTCCCAGAAGCCTCGCCGAGGCCTCTCAGAAGTTTATCGGGAGCTTCACGCCCGCTTCTCAGAAGCTCTCAGTAGCCTCTGAGAAGCACTCAGAAGCCTCTCTCAGGAGCTCTCAGTGGCCTCTCAAACGCTGTCAGAAGCCTCTCAGAAGCCTCTCAAAAGTTCCCAGGAGCCTCTCAGAATCTCGGACGCCAGGGAGAAAAAATAGCTTGACAGGGAGAGTCCCACTTTCGCTGGGGGAAATATTTCTGTCGCACACCCCTCACTCGGATCGAGGCCCTGTCGGGAGCTACACCTACGATCTCAGAGGGCGCAGCCTCATGCGAGGCCGCGCCCAGATCGGCACACCCCTCACGCGGATCGTGGCCAACAGCGCTCCGCACTCGTACCTCGCACTTTTCGTCTGGACCACCATCCCATATCCGAACTCGCGTCGGGTGCTCTGAACTTGGCACCGCTCCGCAAGCGAGGCCTGCGACTGCAGGCGGCGTTCACGCTGCTGTTCCCCACCGAGGCCTGAGGACGCCGCCTGGCAGCCGCAGGACGACGCTCACGACCGCCGCGAACACGAAGTGCATGGCCGCGAACACGCACCACCAGTGGACCAGCTGCAGCCGGTGCCGGAGCACGAGGCGAGACCCCGCGAGGGCGAAGCCGATGTTCCAGAGGTAGAGGCAGCCCAGCAGGCGAGCGCGCCCCGTCGCGAGCATGAGGCCCTCGTTGCAGTGCCACACCGACAGGCTCACGACGGAGAGCGCCAGGGGCACCGCGAGCCCGGCTGCCTCGCCTGCCACGGCCGCGTCCGGCGTGAACAGCGACGGCAGCCCCGCGCACAGCGCCAGGCCCAGCAGGCCCGAGGCGGCGCCCAGCGCCACCGCCGCGGCCAGCATGGCCGAGGCGAGCTGCCGCGCCCGCCCGCGTCCCGCCGCGCTGCCCTCTGCGAAGGGCGCCGTGACGAGGGCCTGGGCCACGTTCACGAACGGGAAGCAGAGCCAGATGAGGAAGCGCCACAGCGACATTCCCACCTGGTGGGCTGCCAGGCTGGCGGGCCCGAACGCGCTGCCCATGCGAGTCTCCAGGGCCTGCAGCGCTACCTTCGTCAGCTGGAAGGACAGGAACGGGGCAGCAAAGGCAAGCACGCTCAGCGCTTGCCGCGGCCGCACCGAACGCAACCACTCAGACGGGCTGAGAAGCAACGGCAAGGCACCGTCTGCCGCCGCGCCTCTCAAGGGCTCCTGTGTCGCACCGCTCGCAGCAAAGCCGCGGCTCCTCCGCAGCGCGCGAAGCAGCACCGCAACGGCGGCCAGCTGCCCCGCCACTGTCGCCAGAGCGGCACCGACGCATCCCAAGCCACACCTGGCCACGAGCACCAGGTCCAATGCCAGGTTCATGGCGGCACCAGCCAGTGCAGCGCGCAACGGGGACATCGTGTCCCGCAAGGCGCTGAAGCATGCAGAAGCCAACACCAGCTGCAACATCTGCGCTGGCAACCCCAACGCGCGGACGCACAAGTATCCGCTGGCTGGCGCACGTGTGTCCGCCAGCGCGGCTGGACTCACCAGCAGTTCCAGCGCCGAGCCGTGGAATGCCAGCAGCAGCGCGCCTGCCGCGGCACCGCAGCATACTGCGAGGAAGCAGGCGTCGCGCAAGAAACCACGGGCAGCGGAGAAGTCCCGCCTCCCGCGTTCCCTCGCTAGGCAAAACGCGGTTGCCGTGGAGAGAAAGCTGAATAGCAGCTGGATGTTGTTGCAAGCAGAAATAGCCGGGTTCAGAGCCGCCAGATCGGCAGTTGACCCAAACTGGCCCACAACTGCTGCGTCGGTGGCATCAAGAAGAGGTGTAAGTATGCCGATTGCGATGGCTGGCACGGCAAAGCCGACGACGGTGCGCATGTCATCTGCAAACGCTGGCGGCGTCTCTGTGGATGAAGTCACAGCGGCCACCAGCAATCCTGGCGTCCTGCGCTTGCGCCGCACAGGTAGCATCCACCCGGCAGCTGCCGCAGCCGCAGCTGTGCTGGCTCGCTGGAACCTGTCAGCACCTGGCGCGGCAGCCACCACAGCGTGCCAAGCGTTGGACCGCCGGAGATTATCCTTGCGACACCCTGCCTGCAGGCCACTATGATGTTGCAGCTGACTGGGCCATCTTGCCCATGGCACGGCTGGCTTTGCCTGCAGCTCGGTTGCCAGCAACATGGCTGACGGAAGACGCGCGGACATTCGGTGCCAGCACTTCGGCCGCGGCTTGGGAGGAAGGCCCGAAAGTCCTCAGCAGCTGGTGCTTCATCCAAAACGACTAAGGGGCAGCGAAAGATAGTGATGTAAACCAATGAGCACAAACTGTTCGAAAGGGCCGTCAATGAGCACACACGTGGCAATAGCGAAACGGTTCCTGGGAGCCTTTGCAAGCCTCTGGAAGCCTCTTTGGGACCCCTTGGGGGGGCTATCAGGGCCGTCTTAGGGGTTTGCGGGGCCAGCTTGACGTGGAAGTCTCCTGGGGCTCCACGTCGGGGTTTTTTGAACCCCTTCTCGGGCTCTTGAGGGCTTCTTGAGCGTCTTGGGGCTTACGTGGGCCTTCTTTCGGCCTTCGTCAGGCCTCTTGAGCTGGTCTGTTGGGCCTCAACGGGCGCGTGGTGTATGTCAGGAGTCCGGAAAAGCGAAAATACTAAAATCACAAAAAAAGAAAAGGAAGTCCATAATCGTGTGCTCCATGGGACTCTCTTTGGGCCTTTTTGGGACGGCTTGAGGGCTTCTCGGGCCGTCTTGGGAGCCTCTAGGGCAGTCTGGAGCTCCTGTGCCCGAAACAGCACCGAGAAGGTCAGAACTCACCCCCAGACCCCGTGGGGCCAAATCGGGGTGCCAGGGGGGGGGAAAGGAACGAGCCGCCCCCCTGCCCTGGTGACCGGTCGCTGGTTGCATGAGATGCACAGGCAGAGGAGGTGGAGAAGCGAAGAAGAATGCTAGAGCAGGCACCCCGGCACCGCAAGTGCCGTCCAGCGTCGGAGGTGTGGTCCAACACGTCGGCGAGCCCAGCCGCGCTGCTGCCGACAGGCTCCGCACGCCGCCTCGGGGGAGGCGGAGCACACCGTGGCCCGCGGAGAAGCGGCGGCGGCGGCGGGCGAGGACAGGGGGGGGAAAGCCTCTGGAGGCGGCCGAGCGGCACAGAAGCTGCGGGGGCGGGGCCGCCGGGCCTGCCCGCACATACGGAGCTGGCACGGCGGGGCCGAAGAGCCACGCCCGCTGCAGCCAGCCCGCAGCACGAGGACGCACGAGAAGGATGCAGGGGCCTCGGAAGGCCCTGTCGAAGCTCTGCGAGCGGGGCGCGCGGCCGGCGGAATTGGCGCCAAGGATGTGCCGAAGGGGCAAGGAAGCGAGGGCAGCCTCGGGAAGGTCGCCCATCCTGACTGTGCGGGCCGACTGTGCCCGGTGCCCTGCGATGCAGGCGGACCGGTGGGAGAGGGCCGAGACACGTCGGGGGTCGGACTCGGCGGCCCGCACGGGGCGGTGGCGCGAGGAGGGGGCGGCCTTCCAGCAGAAGGAGCTTCTCAGAGGGGCCGGGGAGCCTCCGAGAATCGGGGGCCTGGCAGTGGGCACCACCCCCACAGGGGGGTGCCTCCACTGGGGGAAGATGGTCCTGGATTCTGGTGTTGGTGGTAATGGTTCGGCCACCTGGGAAGCCCGAATGCTGACGCCATCACCGAGGTCTGGATCCCCTTCCCTCGGTGGAGGCACACCGCCGACGTTGGTGTTGGCGTGTCCACCTCGAGGCCTCCGAGAGAGCAGGCTTCCGGGACGGCGGGGAGGCCCCTCGGGAGCCGCCTGCCTCCCCAGCCACAGCCGGCCACCACCCGCGCCCCTGCCCTCGTAAAACCAGGCGCGCCGCGGAGCCCCGAGCCTCCTCCTCCTCCTCCTCCTCCTCCTCCTCCTCCTCCTCCTCCTCCTCCTCCTCCTCCTCCTCCTCCAGGAGGAGGAGGAGGAGGAGGAGGAGGAGGAGGAGGAGGAGGAGGAGGAGAGTGAAGAGAAAGGCTCCCCAAGCGGGGCCTCGGGGGGGAGGGGGGTCCCAAAACCCCGGCGGTTGTCACGACCTGGCCCACGCTGCTCCCATCGTGCCTCGGAGCCACGCTCCGCACAGAATTTCGGGCCCCCGGAGCAGTGTCGAAGCGGTGTCGAGCGAGAAACGCCTCCCGGGGCCCGGCATGTGAAGACCCTCCAGGCTCGCTCTTGGCGCTCGGAATTCTTCCCGGCGGTCGAGGCGAAAGCAGGCTGGAACATCATGAGACCGGGCCAGACCCGCGCAGATCCAGCCGGCGCCGCGGACCCCCCCTCCACACCCTTCACAGGTACGGTCGGTTCCCGTCGTGGCACCTCTGACGCTGGTTCCTGACACCGCGCAGGACGTCGAGCCCATGACGATGGCGACGGTCTGGTAGCAGGGACCGTTCGGCATCGGCCGAGTCCAGGCCAGCGGCTTGGCAACCACATGCGAACCCTTGCCCTGCACGTCAGATGTCTGGAAAGCCGGCTAGAGTTCAGAGTTCGAAGGATGTCCGCAGCGAAGTGAACCCCAGCGAGGTGTCTGACACCCCAGCATCGATTGGACTCGCAGCGGTAGGGTTCGAACATGGTCGCAGAGTGGTGGCTCTCAACCGTGAACGCCTGCGCTGGGGTAGTCGTCGCCACGTCGACACTCAAAGAAAAAATAAAGCCCGCTACCGAGAAACCCTGGTGGGGAGGATCTCTGGGCAGTGGCACGCTCCTGCTTACCTCGAGGCGTCCCCGAGCAGATGGGTCGAAGGATCGCGCGGCGACGTCGGCGTGGCGAGACACGGGCTCCACATCGAGCCGCATCGTCCATGCATCGGCGATGCGGCGCGATCCTCCGACCCCATCTGCTCGGACCCCATCTGGGAGGCCTGGAGCACCTCCGCCCAACTCGGGAGCGGCCAAGAGGGGGGTGTCCAAGAGAGGGGGTGCAAATCATGACCGGCGGCATGTGCGCGGCCCAGCGGCGGGGCCAGGGACGTAATGAAATAAGAAGAGGCGCCATAAAATCTGGGGAAATATCATGGCCCCCGCCATGATATCCACCCCCCCCTAGTCATCACCCCCCTTTTCCGCCCCCGACCAACGGCGGCCCCCCCCGATGGCTTCTCGCTGGCGGTGGCCCACTGCTCCTCCTCCTCCGAGACGCGGCGCGAGCCCCTCGCGCACGCCGTCGACCTCGGCCGCCTCTGCTCGCCCGCGCGAGGCCGCGCCCGCGGTCGGCCGCCGGGGCCCGCCGCCCCGTCGGACTCTCCCGCGTGCCGGGCGGCTCCGGCCCCCCGGCGCCCCACGCGTGAGGCGAGGAGCGCCCAGCAGGTCCTCTGCGGGCCTCTGTGCGACTCGGCTCCGGCTTCGGCTTCGGCTGCCGATGCACCGTTTTTTTCTTCAGCGCGAAATTTTGGGAGGAGAAGGAGGGGCATGAGGGAGGGGACGACCGCCACAACTCTCGAGTAACCAGTGCACTCCGTGGCGATGCGCGGCAGAGGTTGACCAGCAGCCTTATTTACAGCAACATCCCAGAAGTAAAAAAGCACCCGCCAGTAGCACCGTGCAGGGCCCGCGGGCCAGCTCACCCGGATCGGATTCTCCGCTGGCACGGGTGGCGCTGTCCCCACCCCTTTTTCGGGCGAGGAGCGCGGCGGGGACTGCCAGGAAGCTGGGTCGGTATATTTTTTGTTCGTCGCAGCGGTGGCGAGCGCGCTCCGCGTCCGCAGCCTGAGCGGGGGCGCTGCTAGGCGAGTCATACACAAGGCCAGCGGGAGACAGAAGAGGGCGACCCGCGCAGGAGAGAGAGAGAGAGAGAAAAAAAAAAAAAAAAAAAAAAAAAAAAAAAAAAAAAAAGGCGCAGTCAGGCCATTCCAGGACGTCGCGAGCAATATGGCGACCGCAGGCTCGGGGTGAGAGCCGTGCGAGCCCTGGGAAGCTGGATGGGTGGCGACATCCGAGCCCTACCCCCACCGACCACCGATTCTCCCGAGTCGATGGGGGGTACGGGTAGGGCTCGGACTTCGCCGGGCGTTCGGCGAAATCCTCACCCTGCCCCCGCCGCCCATCGAGTTGCCCGAATCGTTGATCGGAGAGGGTAGGGTTCGGATTTCGCTGCCGACTGGAAGCCCACGTGGCTGGATTCGCAGGTCGAGAGTGCAGAGGCCACGCGCTGGACACCCAGATCTTCCACAATGTGAGTTGTTCGATACCAGCGCTTTTTCTTTCGTTTTGGCCACCAGGCTGTCTCCTCGCCTGGATCTAGGCCTCCCAGATGGGGTCGGAGCAGATGGGGTCGGAGCATCGCGCCGCATCGCCGATGCATCACCGATGCGGCTTGATGTGGAGCCCGATTTGCTTCACGTCGACGTCGCCGATGCATCGCCCACGTCGACGATGCATCGCGGGTACATCACCGATGCATCGCCGATGCGTCGCCGATGTATCGGCGATGCGGCGCGATCCTCCGACACCATCTACTCCGACCCCATCTGGGAGGCTTGGGCCCTGGGACCATCGAAAACTAATCTGGGATGAAAAAATACCCCAGGAGAACGGTCGGGAACTCTGGGCCGCGGATTGGAAAAACGAATCGTCGGACATCTGCGCACACGAGGCCGGCGTACTCGTACCTGGCCACAGAAGGGCCGAGGGGGCGGAAAGGCATCCAGCCACGCGTGTGCCCAGCACCCTCGCGCAGGCCGGCCGCGTCACGTGTACCCAGCGTTCTCTCCCGCGGTGCGCACCCCTGCAGGGCAAGCTCTCGGGCAGAACACGGTGGGACTGGCGTCTGGTGCTGCAGGTCGTGGGGAGGCGGATGGCCTGCGGCCCCCCCTCCTCGCACCCGTTCCCGATGATCCTCAGGACGCGCGTGAACGCCAGCGCGTGCTTGTCCACCGAAGCCCCCCAATACGCCACAAGCGGCGCGTTGGGGGCCGACGCGGGCTGCATGCTATCGGTGGAGCTGGCCGAGATAAGCCCACGTTGGGCTAACAGACCCCCGGATCGCCCCAAAAAGGTCCCCAAAAGGCCATATCCCCATGACTCCCTGATTGACTCCGAGCGTCCCAGGAGACACCCGCCAGCCACAAGAGAGCCGCATTCGGGGGCCCAGACCTTCAGTCCCGAGAGGTCAGCATGAGTTCCGAGATCGTCGCGAGCTCTCTCGTCTGGGGGTCGGCGGCATGGCGCAAGCCTCTCGAACAAACCCACGCTGGGCCAACGCACGCCCTGTGGATCATCAGTCCTGGGGGGCAAAACGGTGCCGATACCCCCACCGCCCGGACCTCTCCTGGGCTACACTCTGACCAGAGTCTCGAGGAGAACCCAGCCGTGGCGACGAGGGCTCTCCAGGACGAGCACTCGCCGCCCTCCGACTTCACCCGAGACCCTCGTCCTCGTGGAGGATGGGCAGGGCCCCACCCGAGATGCTCTGCCCTCGACGGGCGTGCCGCGGCGCCGCGCACGAGCGCCCCCGGAGCTCCGCCCCGCGTGGCCCGAGGCGCGGCCCCAGGGCGCGGCGCCCCAGCGTCGGCGAGGGGGATCGCGCCGCGCACGCGTGAAGGCCACGGGAGCACGCACGCACGCGAGCACGCCCGCAGGCCGGCACGCATGCGCTCGAGCACGCACGCGTGCGGCCGTGCTGGCATGCGAGCACGGGTGCGCGCACGCGTGTACGACCGAGAGCAGCCGTGCACGAGTGCGAGCACGCCCGGCATCCCGGCGCGTGCGTGCGCGCAAGCGTGCGGGGGGTGGGCTGGTGGGGTTGCACTTCGGCTGTCCTCCTCCCTCTCCCTGGTCCCTCCTGTTGCCGCCCGGGCACTGGCGGCTTCTGGGCTCTGGAGGTGGAGGGGCCTGGACCGTGCTGGGCCATCGAGATCACTATGGATGAATTGCAGAGGGACTTCGCCCTGCCTTTTTCCCCACCGCTCTCGCCCTGATGCTTTTCCCGCACTGCACGGGCATCACCGCACTGTCTTGAAGTGAGTGTGTATACACATATAGATATGTATGTCTTTGTGTATATATATAGAGAGAGAAGGACCTGTACATATGAAAAAGAGAGAGAGAGAGAGGGTAGGAAGAGGAAGTGCTACGAGCCCGTTCGCTCTGATGACACTTCTCGGTGCGAGGAGGAGGACGAGGAGGAGGAAGAGGACATCGACAATGCAAGGCGCTTGGGAGGGAACTTCCATCTTGCACCGCGGGTGTCCCGTCTCCCCTTGGGGCCAAACTTGGAGGGGCTTGGTCGCAGTCGCGTCGTTTTAGAAAGAGGAGCAGGCGACGGAGCAAGAGCAAGGTGTCCCCTTATGCGAGGAGCCCACATCCAAACCTCGACACATCGATGCCGAAGATGGTGACAAGCTGAGTGCCTCCAGCCATGCCTGGTGCCTAATGCATGGTTCCGCGCCTGATGGCAGCAGCCATGCCCCACCTGGTACATGGCGCAATGCTTCGTGTCAGGTGCCAATGCGACTCATCCATGATGCCGTGCCTCCCGCCTGGTGCAATCCCCGGTATGTGATACTGTGCCTTGTATACTAAGTTCGAGTTTCTTCACAACTTCTTCAAACCCTGACACTAACCCAAGGAGGGAAAGAACTCGGCCTGGCAGCGAGCGTTGCGCTCACATCGTCCGCCAGCAGCTCGCAGTGGAACTCCCGGGCCTCGCAGCCGGCGCGCATTGCCTGAACCTGACGCCGCACGCTCGATGGGCAGCCAAGTGACCGAAGCAGACACCCGAATACGCACGCATGCTGTCTGTGGCGTGTAATGCGCAATCACGCTTGCGCACCTGCCGCGGGCATGGCGTTTCATCACGTGTCTTGCACACGTGAACCTTCCATGAAAAGTGATCAAACCCAACACGCTGGTACCTCGGTCGTCCCCAGCGGAGGCCTTCACCCGCACCACAAACACCCAAAACGCACCTGTTCTAAGGTGGGTTCAGACCGTAGCAAGCTGGAAAACACAAAAAAAAAAAAAAAAAAGAACAAAAACAAAACAAAAACAAAAAAAAAAAAAAGACAAAAAAAAACAACCAAAAAACAGTAAAAAACAAAAAAAATGAAAAATGCAAACAAAACAAAAAAGAACAAAGCTGGTCTTCGAAAACTTACCGGAGAACGACAACGCACGACGCGGACGGGGAGAACCTGCCGCAGCACGTCCTGGAACGAGAGAGTGGACGCGGAGGGACAACAAGGGGGAGAAGAAGGGAGAAGGAAAAGAAGGAAGGAGGAGGAGGAGAAGGAGGACGAGAAGGAGGAGGGGGAGGGAGGAGAAGAGGGAGGAGGAGAGGGAGGAGGAGAGGGATGAGGAGAGGGAGGAGGAGGAGGAGGAGGAGAAGGAGGAGGAGGACCAGTGTAAACCCAAGGGTCATCAACGATGTTTGAATAAACCCTCCCTCCAAGCTCCCTCTTCAGAAGCCCCTACAACGGTGCATTTCCATTGAGGGAACTGCCTCGTTGGAAGGCGGCCGCTTGAAGACCCTGAGGCATGCCAAAACATGGTTCTCGGGACTTCAACGCCACGGGTCAACCTGACTGTTGAGTCTTGACGATCCTGAATCGTGCCAGAACGCCATTCCTGGGACTTCAACATTGCGAATCAGCGTAACTGCTGCACCCGCATAGTCCGGAATCCTTCCCAAACACAATTTCTGGTATGCTGACCATGAGAATCCGTGAAACTCTTGCAAATGTTATCAACAAATGTGCGCGGCGCTACGGCGAGAGCCAAAGTTTGAAAACTAACCGCCCTCAATCCGTGAAACTCTTGCACAGGTTTTAAGCGAATGTGCCTGGCGCTGAGGCGGGAGCCACATTTTGAAAACGTTTCGCTTTCAATCCGTGTAACTCTTACAAGTGTTTACACGAATGTGCGCAGCGCTCAGACCAGAGCCACATTTTGAAAACGACCGGCCCTCCATCTGTGCAACTGTTGCCAATGTATAAGCTCCAGAGTCATCAATGGTGAGGAATTCACAGGCGAAATGCCCGGCCCGCCCTAAAAACTGGCCCCGGGGTGCGACAGGGAGAAACTATTTACAAGGAGAAGGAATGAAGGAGGGAGGAGGGAGGAGGGAGGAGGAGGAGGATGAGGAGGAGGAAAAGGAAAAGGAGGAGGACGAGGAGGGAGGGAGGACGACGACGACGACGACGACGACAACGAGGACGACGACACCGACGACCGACGACCGACGGCCTACGACGGCGGCGGCGGCGGCGGCGGCGGCGGAGCAGCCTGCCGCAGCACGTCCTGTAGCTCCGCGCGCACCTCACGCGCCCGGTGGCTCGCGCACCGCCTGCGGCTCGGGCGGCGCCTTCCTCCACCAGGATCCCGCCTCCTCGTCCTCCGCCTCCTCGTCGACCAGGAGCCCACCTCCTCCTCCGTCTCCTCCTCCTCCTCCTCCTCCTCCTCCTCCTCCTCCTCCTCCTCCTCGGCCTCTTACCCGACCTCAGCCCCTGCTCGTCCACAGCCCCTCATCATCCTCGTCATCAGCCCCTCCTCGTCCTCGTCCTCGTCCTCCTCATCCTTCTGCGCATGCTCGTCCGTTCCTTCTCCTCCGTCTCCTCCTTCATCATCGTCATCATCACCATCAGCATCAGCATCAGCATCAGCATCATCATCATCATCATCATCATCATCATCATCATCATCATCATCAGCACCAGCACCAGCAGCATCATCATCAGCATCATCAGCATCATCATCATCATCATCATCATCATCATCATCATCATCATCATCATTATCATCATTATCAGCATCATTAGCAGCAGCAGCATCGTCATCATCATTAGCAGCAGCAGCATAGTCATCAGCATCAGCATCAGCATCGTCGTCATCATCGTCATTGGTGTCGTCAGCAGCAAAAGCATCATCAGCAGCAGTATCATCATAATACGTATCAGCATCATCATCATCATCATCAGTATCAGCATCAGCATCCGTTTTATCATCATCGTGATCACGATCACCACGAACAGCATCATAATCATCATGACATCCAGCATCATAATCATCATCATCATCACCATCATCAGCCTCATCGTCATGTACATCATCAGCTTCATCAGCATCATCAGCATCAGTATCGTCGTCAGTATCATCATTATTGTTAACATCATTAAAATCAAAAGCAGTAGCAAAACCATCAAATTCATCATCAGCATGAACATCATCGCGAGCAGCCAGGGCAATAGAATCATCATCAGCATCACCAGGGACGCCCTCCTCACCAGTAGCATCATCTGTAACACCAGCATCATCATCAGCAGTGTCAGCAGCCGCCATATCTGCATCAGCAGACGCATCATCGTCCGAATCATCAAAATCATCTACAGCATCATGGTAATCATTCGCATCACACGTTATCATCACCAGCGCAACGGCACAACTGTCGCTGCCATCGTCATGATCACCATGATGATCATCATCATCACCATCAGCATCAGCATTATCATTACCATTAGCATCATCATCATCACCACCATCATCATCATCATCATCATCATCATCATCATCATCATAGTCATCGTCATAATCATCAGCATCAACAGTATCATCATTACCATGAGCATCATTATCACCATCATCATGATCAAGATCATTATCGTCATCATCAGCATCATCATCACAATCATCATCATCATCATCATCATCATCAGCAGCGTCAGCATCAGCATTAGCATCAGCATCAGCACACGCATCATCCTAGTGCACACGCCTGCCTCCCAGCGCGAACACCGCTGGCGGGCCCCAGTCTAGCCGCGGCACCCTCGATTCGTCCTCCTCATCCTCGGCAACAGCATCACTATCACCACCATCATCATCATCATCATCATCATCATCATCAGCAGCATGGTCGTCATCTTCCTCAGCATCGGCATCATCATGGCCATCACCACCGCTATCACCACCACAATCATCGTCAACATCATTAGCAGAATCAGCATCAACAGCATCATCACCATCACCACCACACCACTACACCACAACCAACGTCATCGTCGTGATCGTCAACGCCATGAGCATCATCGTCATCACCATCATCATCAGAAGAAGAAGCATCATCATCACAGCATCTTCATGCTCATCATCAGCAGCAGCATCCTCATCATCATCACAGTCAGCATCATCATAATCATCAGCATCATCACCATCACCTTCATCATCATCAGTTGCATCATCATCATCATGATCATCATCATCATCATCATCATCATCATCATCATCATCATCATCATCATCATCATCATCATCATCATCATCATCGGCATCACCATCACCATCATCACCGTCCTCCTCATACTCGCCCTCATTTTCACCGTCAGCACAAGAATCGTCATCACCAGCGTCCCCATCATGGGCCCCTGGGGCCACATGGCGCGCCCGGTGCCTCCCAGCCCGTGCCAGGGACCAGCACATCCTTGCCGCGCGCCATCAGCGCTCCTCGTCCTCGTCCTCATCCGCGTTATCCGGTCCACACTTCTTCTCCTGCGATCCTCCTCCTCCTCACTGCCTCCTCATCATCATAATCGGGATCATCATCATCCTCTGGCCGTCGGTACTCCTCCTCGCCTTCGCCTGCGTATGGCTCGTACGTTTCATCTCCTCGCTCCGGCCTCCTCCTCCTCTCCGACTCCTCCTCCTCCCTCCCTGCCCTCCTCCCTCCTCCCTCTTCCCACCCACACATAGCCTCCTCACAGCCTCCTCCTCCTTTTCCTCCCTCCTCCTTCTCTCCGCCTCCTCTCATCCCTCCGTCTCAAACCCGCCTCCTCCTTTCCTCCTCATCCCTCCTCTCCCTCTGCCTCGTCTATACAGTGTCCTCGGCATCCTCCTGCGTACGCTCGCCCGTTTCTCCCATCATCCTCCTCTCGCCCCCGCCCCCATCCTCCTCCATCCTCCTCCTCCTCCTCCTCCTCCTCCTCCCCATCCTCCTCCTCCTCGTGTCCTCCTCCTCCTCCTCCTCCTCCTCATCAATCATCATCAGCATCATCATCTCCGCTTCCTCCTTCTCTCCTCATCCTCTCATCCCGCTTTCTGTCCTAGACCTCCTCCTCCTTCTTCGCCTCTCCTCGTTCCCCCTCACCATCCTGGACATGATCCTCCTCCCCCATCGCCCAGGTATCCTCCTCCTCGTCCTCCTCCCCCTCCTCCTCCCCCTCTTCGTCCTCCTTCCCCTCCTTCTCCGCATCGTCCTCCTGCTGAGCAGAATCCTCATCATCAACATCGTCAGCTGAATCATCAGCATCGGCCTCGCTATCATCATCATCATCATCATCATCATCATCATCATCATCATCATCATCATCATCATCATCATCATCATCATCATCATCAGCAGCAGCATTACCATCATCATCACAGTCAGCACCATCATAATCACCTTCATCATCATCAGTTCCATCATCATCATCATCATCAACATCATCATCATCATCATCATCATCAGCATCATCATCATCATCATCATCATCATCTCATCATCAGCATCATCATCAGCATCATCGTCATCATCATCCGCATCGTCATCAGCATCAGCATCAGCATCGTCATCATCATCGTCAGTATCGTCATAATCAGCATCATCAACACCACCATCATCATCGTCATCATCAGTAGCAGCACCAACAGCATCAGCAGCATCATCAACATCGTCATCCTCATCAGCAGCAGCAGCATCAGCATCATCAGCATCACCGTCATGATCACTGCCAATACCATCATCATCACCACCAGCAGCAACAGCATCAGCAGCATCATCATCATCATCAGCCGCAGCACCATCAGCACCAGCATCATCATACGCATCATCCTCACCCGCATCATCAGCAACAACAACATCATCGTGAGCAGCAGAATCAACATCAGCAGCATCAGCAGCAGCATCATCATCTGCATCATCACCACCATCATCAGCATCATCATTAGCATCATCAGAAGCATCAGCATCAACAGCATCACCATCATCAACAAAAATCCGCGGCATCAGCAGCATCAGAAGCAGCAGCAGTAGCAGCAGCATCAGCACCAGCAACATCGTCATCATCATCATCATCAGCAGCAGCATCATCATTACCAGCATCAGCATCGTCATCGGCAGCAGCAACATCATCATCAGCAGCATCATCAGCATCACCATCCTGTTCATCAGCATCATCATCAGCAGGAGCAGTACCACCATCATCATCGTCGGCAGCATCATCAGTATCACCATCATCAGTATCATCCTCGTCCGCATCTTCAACATCATCATCCTCATCATCATCATCATCATCATCATCATCATCATCATCATCATCATCATCATCATCATCATCATCATCTCCAGCATCATCATCATAACCATCAGCATCAGCAGCATCACCATCATCAGCAGCAGCAGCATAAGCATCAGCGTCATCAACACATGCATCAACAGCAGAACCATCATCATCATCGTCAACGTCAGCACCAGCATCATCATCAAGAGCATCATCATCATCCTCATCATAGTCACCATCCTCATCATCATCGTCATCATCGCCATTGTCATCATCATCGCCATCGTCAACGACAATGCCAGCATCATCATCATCATCATCATCATCATCGTCATCATCATCATCGTCATCGTCATCGTCATCGTCATCGTCATCGTCATCGTCATCAGCAGCATCAGCAGCAGCATCAGCATCATCATCAGCATCAGCAGCACCATCGTCATCAGCACCATCACGGTCATTACTATCGTCGTCGTCATCATCCTCATCGTCATCATCCTCACCACCACCAGCAGCATAATCATCAGCAGCAACATCACCATCATCATCATCATCATCATCATCATCATCATCATCATCACTATCATCTTCGTCGCCATTGCAACAAATGCTGTTCCCCTATGTCTGGGGGTGGATGGGATCATCATCTCGTCTTGAGGCAGCCAGGTCGCGGGGTGAATAGAGAGGGGTAGCAGGTTAGCGTCGTAGCGCACCGCGCGGCTCGAGACGGTTGCCGAGCTTGGGTTTGACCCGAGCCCTCAAGCTCAAGAAGAAGATGGGCGCGAACGCGTTGGATTTATCTCGGCACTTGACGGGCGCGCTGGAACAACGGCGAGCTGCAGCGGCGGACCAAGCCCATCACCATCACCACCATCATCGGTACCATCTTGATCGCCATCGTCATCATTATCCGTTTCCATCACCTGCCACTTCCCGTCCTCTTCCTCCGTCTCATTTCCATCATCCATAATCAATATCATCACCGTCCTCGTCCAAAACCGCATTCCAATCCTTGCCCTCCTCATCATCATGATCACCAGCAGCATCATCAGACTCGTCCTCATCTGCATCACCATCATCATCTTCATCATCAGCATCATCACCATTGTCAACATAACCAGAAGCTTCGCCATACATCGCAGCATGGTCATGAAAGTCGCTGCTGAACAGAACTCGGACACTAGATGCTGCAAGCATGGCTAACGAGCACACATAAAATGCCTAAATGCCTAAAGCTGTTCGAGGGTATGATACAAAGAACTACTCTGAGGGTAGGACCACGCATGCCAATCGTCTCGGCTAATCGGGAAGTGATTATCATCATCGTCTTCGCGATTGCGAAGGCTCTCTTCCTGTCTCCTCTGTGTCATGCTCCGTCTCACTCTGGCGGAAGCCCTTCTCCCGCCCCCTGTTTTGCCCTTTCCTGGTCCTCCTCCCCCTCTCTCTCTCTCTCTCTCTCTCTCCGCTACGCCTTCCACTTCTTCTGCAAGGGCTCGCGCGTCGACTTTCTTCATGGCGCCGTCGCCGCATCGGTCGGCAGGGGCGCGATTTCCGATGGCCAGATCGCGAAGCCGTTAGGGCAACCCCGCGAGCCGCGCCGCTGGGGCAAACCCGCGGCCATCTGGCGCGCGAGAGCAAGCCGTTGGGACAAACCCGCGAGCGTCGAGCGGGGCGCGGCCGCGCTCAGGCTTCGGCCGCGGACGGGCTACCACCCGCGGCCCGGACACCAGGGCTTCCCCCCGATTCGGCCGCCGTCTTATCGTCGTCGTCGTCGTCGTCATCCCGTGCAGGCACCCTGTCGTCCGCGGGGCTCGTGCAACACTCGATATTGAACCCTTTCGGGGCTCGTGCCTGTGGCGCTGAACCCTTCGGGAATCATGTCAGTAGCGCTGAACCCGCTGGGGCTTGCGCTACACTGGACGCTGAACCCTTCGGGGCTCATGCCTGCGGCGCTGACCACTTCGAGCCTCGTGCTGGCATCCGCTCCGGGCATCCTCACGGTTTGCCTCCCATGGGGTGCTCAAGTGCTGTGCCTGCTAAGAGTGGGCCGATGACCCGCCTCGGATTCGAACACGAAGTGCGGGGCCCTTCGGGAGGGGGCCGCTCGAGACTTCCTCATTCTTCACTCACCGACGAGGCCCCCCGCTCGAGACGTCCTGACGGTTTGCCTCCCTTGGGGTGCTCCAGTGCTGTGCCTGCGAGAGTAGGCCGATGACCCGCCTCGGATTCGAAAATAAATTGCGGGGCCCTTAGGAATGGCGCCCCCGCTCGAGACTTCCTCACAATTCACTCAGCGACGAGGCCCCCCGTTCGAGACGTCCTGACGGTTTGCCTCCCTTGGGGTGCTCAAGTGCTGTGCCTGCGAGAGTAGGCCGATGACCCGCTTCGGATTCGAAAATGAAGTGCGGGGCCCTTAGGGACGGCGCTCCCGCTCGAGACGTCCTCACAATTCACTCACCGACGAGGCCCCCCGCTCGAGACGTCCTGACGGTTTGCCTCCCTTGGGGTGTTCAAGTGCGGTGCCTGCGAGAGTAGGCCGATGACGGCCCTTCGGGAGGGGGCCGCTCACAATTCACGCACCGACGAGGCCCCCCGCTCGAGACGTCCTGACGGTTTGCCTCCCTGGGGGTGCCTGCGAGAGTAGGCCGATGACCCGCCTCGGATTCCAAAGTGAAGCGCGGGGCCCATAGGGACGGGGCTCCCGCTCGAGACGTCCTCAGAATTCACTCACCGACGAGGCCACCCGCTCGAGACGTCCTGACGGTTTGCCTGCTCAAGTGCCGTGCCTGCTGGATTCGATCGATGACCCGCCTCGGAGTCAAACATGAAGTGCGGGGCCCTTGGGGGCGGCGCTCCCGCTCGTGACGTCCTCACAATTCACGCACCGACGAGGCCCCCCGCTCGAGACAGCCTCACGAGTTGCCTCCTTGGGGCGCTCATGTGATACGCCTGCTAGAGTAGGCCGATGACCCGCCTCGGATTCGAACATGAAGCGCGGGGACCTTAGGGAGGTGACGACTTTCAGAATGGGAGAAGCAAAGCCTCGTGATGATGATAGCGACGATGATAACGACGATGGTGGTGGTAATAGTAATGATGATGAGTAAATAGACGCTGATAGTGACGAGTGAGCGAGTGAATGCGTAAATTAATGAATGGGAGAGTAAGACACTGAACGGTGATGATGAGGAGGAGGAAGAGGAGGAAGATGGGAGCGGACAGCAATGATGCACGCCACTAGCCTTGCCAGACGCGCCGCCGAGAAAGCAAGCCCCCCACAGGGTTGTCCTGCGAATGTGGCCGAAATTCTGGCTTCGGAATTTCGGCAAGAACTAATTCCCCTCAATCCTCTTGCCCACGACACCCTCATCACATCTCCCTCTCCGGCCACAGCGCCGCAGTGCTCACGGGAACAAGACACTGTCGTCCGAAACGTCGTCGAATGGTGTCTTCTCCCGCCTCCCCGCGTCCTCCTGGCTCACCGTTGGAAGCTGCATGAGCTGGAGTATCGCATTCATGTAGCGCCTGGAGGCCACCATGCTCGGATGGGTCCCATCCTTCATCCACAAAGACGGAACGAACCCGCGCTCTTCGATAAGCTCGTTCATGATCCTGTAATAGTCCACCACCTCGTACAAGCCGTAGAGCTTGCCATTTTGCATCTGCTGATCCACTTCATGTTTCATCCAATCCATCGCCTTAACAGACACCACCGCGACGTCTGGATAGCTTACAGTCGTGGATTTGTGAAACTCATCCTTGAGAATTACCTCAAGAAACACTGAATGGTGAACACGAGGCGCATTTCTGAAGACGATGCGGCTTTGAGGGAACGTCTCGGACACACGAGCCATAAGATGTTTCAAATCACGGCGACCCCACTGGTGCAGACGCTCTTTCGTCACGTTCTTGACGCCCCACGAAGCCCAGGTGAAAAGATCCCAGAGGGAGCTTTCTACCACAATCATGTCTGGGAACTCCTCTCCCTTCATGTTCATCATGCCCATGATCGATTTGCGCAGTTCCTGGCTACTGGACACGTCGCTATGTTCTACAATGGGATAGGTGTGGTTCCAGAAAGGCGGCTGGAAATCACCATGAATGCCCACTCCAGGGTGAGCGGCATAGCCCACGGCGAGATCCCGTTCCTCGCTCACGCAACTCAATCTGTAAAATTTCTTACCGTCGGTTTTACAGAAATCCGCCACTGCGTACCTGTCCACAGAAGATCCCAGAAAGAAGACCGAATGGGCTGAACGACGCTGCATCGCGAGCCCGCTCGCCACGGCAGCGCAGGCCGCCAAGCAGCCCGCGCGGATCATCGTGGCAAGATGCATCGGTTGACGCTATGCGTAAGAGATGGTGGCAGGAACGCTGTATGTATTGGGAATTCGGGTACGTGTGCAGAAAAGCCGGAACCGAAAACTGCTTGAGCCAAACTTGAGCCAAAATGGCTACAGAGGAGGAAGAGAAAAAGGAGGAGGAAGAGGAGCGTCTGAGTGTCTCAATACGTGAGTGAGTGGGTGATGTAGAGAAAAGAAAGAGGGTGAGGAGGAGGAGGAGGAGGAGAAGGACTGCGCAGGGAGTCCAGAGAAAAAAAAAAAAATGTTAGGGAAATCATGGACAGCCCAATGGCCCACAGGAAGCAAAAATATCCGGGCGAAGGACCAAACCATGTGCAATTGTGCGTAACGCAATCGTGGGTATCGTCCTCGGTGAACATCTCTCTGGCACACGACGCGCGTGACGGGTGTGCCAAAATGGGTTGGACCCGTCGGTGGAGCCCCCTGTGAAGCCACGAAACGTGTGAGGGGTGCGCCGAAATGGAGGTGGAACCGCGCGCCGGAACTGCCAGTGGGGCCTTTGGCGGAGCTCCCTATGGGGCAACGAAACGTGTGAGGGGTGCGCCGAAATAGAGGTGGAACTGCATGCGGACCCTGCGATTGGGGCCTTCGATGGATCTCCCTATGGGGCCACGAAGCGTGTGAGGGGTGCGCCACACAAACATGCGGAGGACAGAGGCAAGGATGGGAAGAGGGAGGAAGGAGGAACAGAAGAAGGACGCGGGGCACGATTTCTTCAAAACGAGGACCCAACACCGCAGGACGGTTGGGAACTATACGGACGCCGAAAGCCATGATCTTGGCAAATTGCCTACATGCGCCTGGAATTTGCGCATGTGGTACGCGCCGTCACGCGTGTCGATCATGCGGCCGCGGGCTCGTCAAATATAGAGAAGTATACACACACATACATACATACATACATACATACATACATACATACATACATACATACATACATACATACATACACACAAACAAACAAACAAAAATACATACATACATATATACATACATACATACCTACATACATACATACATACATACATACATACGTACATACATACATACATACATACATACATGCATACACACACACGTGTCGGAGACGTGCGAATTTGGCACGTATCTTCACATGCGTCGGCGACAAAAGAGGGGGTCGAAACTGCGGCTGGCGGTTTCTTCGCACGCAACTTTACGCTCGAAGAGGGGCGCAGGGGGATCGAGCATGCGTCTGGCACGTGCGCGTTTGGCACGTGCCTTTTACATGTTCCCGCGACAAACGAGAAGGTCGAACATGCGGCCAGCGGATTGCTCACACGTAACAATACGCGCGTGGAGAAGTGGGGGCTCCAACATGCGACTGGCACATGTGCGATTGGCGCGCACGCGACACGGGGGGTGTCGAACACACGGCTGGAGGATTGATTATTCACGACATGGACTGGCTGCGCGGATGAGGGCGGTATCAACCATGCATACGGCACGCGTGTGTGCGCGAGTGTGTGAGTATGCGTGTGTGTGTGTGTGCGTATGTGTGTGGTGTGTAAGTGACTGAGTGCGTGCGTGCGTGCGTGCGCGTGTGTGCGTGTGTGCGCGCGCGTGCGCGCGTGTGTGCGTGTGTGCGTGCGTGCGTTCTTGCGTGCGCGCGTGCGTGCGTGTGTTTGTGTGTTTGCGTGTTTGTGTGTTTGTGTTTGTGTTTGTGCGTGTGTGTGTGTGCGTGTGTATGTGTCTCTGTGTGTCTGTGTGTGCGGGTGCCTGTGTTTGTTTGTTTGTTTGGTTGGTTGGTTGTGTGTGTGCCTGTGTATATGTGTGTCTGTGTGTCTGTGCGACTGTGCGTTTGTGCGTCTGTGTGTCTGTGTGTCTGTATGCCTGCGCGTTTGTGTGTTTGTCACGTGCTTAACATGCGTATGCGCAAGGGGGGGTCCAAAAAGCGGCCAGCGGATATGAGTCTGGCACGCGCGTACGTGTCACGTGTTTTTCAATGCGAGGGCGCGCGCAGGGGGGGCGAACAGGCGCCCAGCGGACTGCACACGCATGAGAACACCTGCGCGGCCAGGGGGGTCGAACACGCATCTGGCGCGCGTGCACATGCCACGCGTTTGCTGGCGCACTCGCGCGCCAGCCGGGGGGGGGGTCGAACATGCGGTCTACGCCTTTGCCAAACGTAGAGACACATGCGCGGAGGAGGGTGGAGTCGACCATGTCTGGCACGCGCGCATGCGGCACTTGTCTTCGCACGCGGGCGACACAAAAATGCCCAACGCGCGGCCAGCGCATTCCTCGCACGCAAAAGTGCCTGCGGAGGGACGGGGCGGGGGGGGCCAACGTGCAGCTGGCGCGCGCGCGAATTGGGCACGCAAGTGCCGAAGAGGGGGCGTAGGTCACGCGGCCCGCGCTTCTTTCTCCACGTTCATTCACTGGCGAGAGATGCCCGCTGCATGTTCAGATGCCCGCGCACACCTGGTGACGCCAGGGCCCCGGGCGCCGAGCAGCGGAGGCCACGCCCCGCGGCGGGAGAGCCGCGGGGGGGCCTCGGCACTGCCGAAAATTCTGCACCGGCAGCGCCGGAGGACGAGGGCGCGCGGGTCAAGTATGGCGGGGCGCGCCGGGCGCGGGGTGCACGAGACGGGGGGGAGAGCAGAGAGCGGCCGACGGAGGAGGGAGGAGGAAGGAACTCAACCGGCGGGAGGACGACGAAGGAGGGGCGCGCAGGCGGCCTCAGGCACCGAAGACGGTGTGCAACAAGTAGCGGAGCAACGGGAGGGCACTGACGAAGACAGCTGCGGCCACAGTCAGAGGACGCGCGCGCTGCACGTGGCGCGGCGGTTCCCCACCGCCGCGCCCGGGGCCCGGGCCTCTGCACCTGCGGGCCGACGGGCAGCGGAGAGGGCGAGGGCGAGGGACGACGGCGACGACGACGAGGGAGAGGACGAGGCGGGGGGAGGGGACGAGGACGATGAGGAAAGAGGACGAGGGGGGAGGAGAGGACCACAAGTTGCTGGATTTCCCTGTGCGTGGAGCTTGCTGGCGCATGCCCCCGCATGACCTTCTTGAACGGAAGAGGGCCCCAAGACGGGCCAAGGGGGCCCCGAGAGGCCTCCAAGATGATGCAAAGGAGCCCCGAGCGGTCGAAAGACCGCTCTGCGACGCCCAAGGGGACCTCCTCCATGCGCGGACAGCCCAAGACGCATCCAAGACGCCCCAAGAGGGCTCCAGGAGGCCCCCCAAGAGGGCCCCAAGAGGGCCCCAAGGGCCAATTTTTTCGAGCCGTCCGCCCTAAGACGACCTCCGAGGCCGACAGGCGGCCCCCAAAAGCTCCAGGAGGCCCCCAAGAGGCCCATGTCAGGCCCCAAGAGGTTCCGAAGAGGCGCCCGAAGAGGCTCAAAAGACGCTCCAAAACCCTCTTCAAGAGGCGTCCGAGAGACCCCCCAAGAGATACACACTTTTCCGTTCGGCGGCTCGAAGGACAGATCCAACGAGCGGGAATAACGTCTGGGCCACAGAGCGAGATAACTGGCTGCAGAGGCGCATAGGCCGCTGTAGCGAGTGCACATGCCAGGGACAAAGTGACCCTCATTGGGGACTGACGCAGGCGGCCCAACAGATGGGGACGCAAGCACAGAACCGGAAGCGGACGAAGAGATACACACAGGCAGCATCCAAAAGGCCTCTGACCAACAACCTTGGCACGGTTGCGGGATGGGCCGGAGGCCACCAGATCCGCCGCCTCCTGTGGTCTTGCCACAGGTGCCTGGCGTGCTAGACCCTATACGGCTTTTCTTGGTTCTTCTCCAAAAGAACTTCCCCTGCGGCTTCGACCGATCCCGCCGGCAACCCAGAAGGCTGCCGAGAAAGCCCGTGTGGCTCGCATCCAAGACGGTCAAGATGGCCCAAGATGGCCTCCAAGTTCGCCCAAGATGGTCCAAGACGGCCTCCAAGACGGCCCAAGAGGGTCCAAAATGTCTCCAAGTCTGCCCAAGAAGCCTCCAAGACGGCTCAAGAGGCCCCTAAGAGGCCTCCAAGACAGCCCAAGAGGTCTCCAAGAGGTCTTCCAGGAGGGCCCGAGGAGGCCAAAATCATTGATTCCCCGCAGGTGTTTGAAGGATTTGGGCAGTTGCTTCTTTTCGGCCTTTCGACGACCCAAGACGGCCCAAGAGGCCCCCAGGGTCGTCCCTAGAGCGCCCAAGAGGCCTCCAAGATGGCGGCAGGACGGCCCGAGAAGCCCACAAGACAGCCCAGAGGGGGGCCAAAGAAGGCACAAGAGGCCTCCATGACGGCCAAGATGGCCTCCCAGACGGCCCTGAAGCACCCCAAGAGGGCCCCAAGATGGTCCAGAGAGGCCCCCAAGACGGCTCCCGACGGCGTCAGACGGCAAAGGAAAGCCCTAAGACGGCCAAATAGGCCCCGAACAAGCCCCCAAAGGCCCCCAAGAGGCCGAATGAGACCTCCAGAGGCCTCCAAGAGGCTCCCAGGAAGCTCCCAGGAGACCCCAAGAGTGCCCTAAGAGGCTCCCGAGAGGTCAACTCCTTCTCCTTTGTTTTCTCCTCCTCCTCCTCCTCCTCCTCCTCCTCCTCCTCGACCTCCTCCCTTTTCCTCATTCTCCTCATTATCCTCTTCCTCACGTGTTCCCCGAAGGGTTTCAACGAAGGCTGGGAGAGCACATGCTCCGATAGCTTGGCCAAACTCTAGCCCAACTTTCGGCCACCCAGGCGTTTCCAAAAAGGCAGGGGGCGGCGGTGATTCGCCGTAGGCGTCTTCGTACAGCCAAAGCATACAGAAACCTGGATCTTCGAAACTCGAGTGATGCCTTGGGTCCGCTCACAGCGTGTGGCCTACAGCGATCCCTGCAGGCCCAAATCCCAAGCCTCGTGCTTCACAACCTAGACCACCTCACGTCGTGAACAAAAACGGTACCGAATGCGTATGATCCTCTAGGGGCCCTTCTCGAGGGGAAAAATCAGGGAGAAGGAGAGTGGGAAGGAGGAGGAAGGGCGCATATCAGGCAACAGGCCGATTCCTCCTCATCATCATCTTTCTCCTCCTTCCCATCATCATCATCATCATCATCATCATCATCATCATCATCATCATCATCATCATCATCATCATCATCATCATCATCATCATCATCAATCATCATCATCATCATCATCATCATCATCATCATCATCATCATCATCATCAGCATCATCATCGTCATTGTCATCGTCGTCACATCAAATCATCATCACCACATCATCAGCATCATCAGCAGCATCCTCCTCCTCCTCGTCCTCCTCCTCCTCCTCGTCCCCCAATGCAGAGAAGGGTGACGAGAGCAGGGGGAGGAGGAAGAGAAGGAGGAGGAGAGGAGGAGGAGGAGGAGGAGGAAGGCTGAGGAGAGAGGAGGAGGGAGAGACGTGGGAGGGGGAGGAGAGGAAGAAGAGAGGAGGGGGGGGGGAGGAGGGGGGGGGGAAGCGCACACCCTGCGGCCCTGTGTGGGGGTCTCCTGGCACTGCTGGGCCGCAACGAACAAAAAAACGATATCTCCATGGGGCCGCCGTGCGCCCGGCCGTCCTCCAGGGGCCGCCTCCGACCCCGCGCCCGCCTCTCGTGCACGGCCTGCGCCCGCCAGGCCGCCGCGCCAGCCCGAGCCGGCAGGGGCGACGAGGCGGCGAGCACCTGGCCGCCGTGGGGCGACGGGAGGGCTACAGCCGACCCGTATCGGAAGGACGCGCGATAAGGATGCAAGGGCCTTGGAAGGCCGTTTCGAAGCGTTCCGAGCGGGGCGCGGCCCACGAAAGTGGCCGAGGATGGGCCGAGGAGGCAAGGATGCAAGGGTACCCTTGGGAAAATTGCCCGTCCTTGGCACGCGGGTCGACTCTACAAGCAAGGGTGACCCTACATGGGCGATTCCGAAGACCCTGAACCCAAAAACGTGTTCATCTCTTGGGAGCACATTTTTCGCTTCCGCCACCTTCCGCCGCCCTTCCGCCTGCTTCCGCCGGCGGAGGCGGCCTCGTTGTACTTCCGTCGGCATTCCGCCGCCCTTCCGCCGCCTTCCGCGGCGGAAGAGATGACAAATCCTTGCATCCTCGAAGGCCAGGCCCCTTTTGGAACGTCACACGTGGCGGGCTTCATCGGGGATCCACCGACCCGGGTCAATCCAGACCCAGGTTAGTCAGGTTTCGCGGGAGCCTGCAGGATCCTGAAGGATCCCGCACCCAAGTCCGAGTCGGTGCGACCCTGGGTCTGCACGAGCCTGCAAGATCTGGCGTTCTGGCCGACCCCCGTTTGCACTGACTCGGGGGTTGTGCAAAGGTGGGGTGGGGCAGAGATGGGGTTGGGAAGAGCATCGCTCCAAACGGCTCCTGCAAAAAACTGTGAGCATCCAGCTGGGTTCGCTCACTAGCCCCACCTTGGAATAACCACCCCCTCTACGCACCCCCAGACTGACCCCCGTCCCGAGGCTTCCGACTTCAGAAAACCTGAACCCAACAGCGTTGCCATCTTCTCTTGGGGGCGCCATCTGGTACTTCCTCTTTTCTCCCTCACGACGCCCGCAAGCTGATGGGTTAATTAGGGCAACTCGCGGCGGGCCTCGCAGAAGAATCAACCGGAAACGGCGCGACGAAAAAACATTTTTTTAAGACCCCGTCGGGGGGGGCAAGAGGAAGCGCGCGCGGGGACCGCAGCTCCCACTGCCCAGGAAGTCTCGCGCCGCAGCCGAGCCAACCGCCGCGGCGCGCTCGGAGTGCCACCGCCGCCCGAAGCGAGGGAGGGCCGGCTCCCGCCGGCGGAGCCGCCCTCGCTCTGCCTCCGCGAGCTCCCGCCGCCCCTCCGCCGCCTGCCGCCGGGGACGGGATGGCACGAGTTACCCCGGATAACTCGGGCGTCCAGAGCCCCAAATCATCAGGGGCAATTCGGGTCAGGGCCAACTCGGGTTCACTTTTCGGGATTCCGAACCCGAGTTACCCCGGGCCCGACCCTCGGATCCTCGACGGCAAGGCAGGGCCCTGCCCGGGACGCCTCGCGCGGAGGGGAGCGGGGACCCTGCCCGAGACTGGACGCGGAGGCGTCGCGTCGATCGCGGTGGCCGGCCATCTTGGGCAGCGGCAACTCGTGGGCCATCCTCGCGGGTCGGCGGCGGCCGGAGAGGACCATGGCCAAGATCGGCGTCGACGAGATCCCGCGACATCCTGGTCATGGTAAGTGTGCTTCCTCCCTCGAGTCTGCAACAGTGATCTTTGGCGCGCGGCTATAGGAGCAAATGTCACTCGGGTGCAAGGTCACTTCTGCGCCGCAGCCTTGCGGGGCCGACGCACATATAGTGTAAGTACGTTTGGGTGGCGCCGATCCTCCCATCTTTCTGCTGCATTCTTCGGGCCGCATCGACCAATGCGGGCCCTGAGGCCCAAGATGTCACGAAAGCCCGACCAGACAAACCTGGGACGCCTGGAGCACAGGGTTCCTCCATCTGGCCCGGCACCTTGGCCCCTTCCCACCCCTGTGACATGGTATGTCCTGATGCCTTCAGTCTGGGTTCTCTGGAAGACCCGACCCCTTCCCCAGGGCAGGTTGTTTAGACTCGAGCGATGGGGGAGTAACGCCAGTGGGGGGGCGGTAGGAGGTGCACCAGATCGCTTCCGCAAACCATCGCGCGAATGCTTGCGCGAACTGTTGCTGGGGGGGAAGAAGGCACACCAGGCCCCCAGGACCTGCCACCAAAAGCAAACCTGGGCCTCGCCCCGCGGCGAGGCGCCCGAGGGCTCTGCACCCCCGGCCCCGCGCGCCGAAGGCCGTGGCGGCCGCGGCGGCGGCAGCGGCGTGCGGGCGAGGCGGGCGCCCTCCTCGGAGAGCCCCCGGCGGGTGAGCGACCAAAAAAAGAGGGCCCCGGACCCCCTCGACTCGAGCCATGAAACTGTTCAAACTCAGCAGGCGCAAGCGAGTCGAACAGGTGCAGGCGCCAGTCGGGCTGCGGGTGGGACGCGCCAGAGGCGAACTGGGGCACAGCGGAACGCGGGGAGAGCAGAGGGGAGGGGTCATTCTCGGCCTCTGGGGGCCCTCACCCGGCCCCAGGACTGTGAAACCTCTGGGGGTGAAGTTATGAGAAACATAACGTCGGGGGTCTGGGTGTTGCGCGATTTGACACATACGACCTGACGCGGCGGCTGAAGCGGGCCGTCAGCGCGGCACGCCACGTTGGGGATGAGAGCGCTGACGCGCGACCTTGCCCGGGCAGCCTACGCGCGAATGTCGGCGCAGACGACCCCTTCCTATCATTAGTAGTCTTCGTATGATTAGCATTATTGTTGTTAGCGTTAGCATACTGATTGATTTTTATATTTCGTATTAGTATGTGTCTTCTTATGTTTAGTATGAGTTGTCTTCAAAATATTACTATTGATATTATTGTTCGTAGTAGTAGCAGTAGTAGCCGTAGTGGTAGTAGTAGTAGTAGTGGTAGTAGTAGTAGTAGTAGTAGTAGTAGTAGGTGTTGTTGTTGCTGCAGTTGTTGTTGTTGCAGTTGTAGTTGTAGTAGCAATAGTAGTAGTAGTAGTAGTAGTAGTAGTAGTAGTCGTAGTCGTAGTAGTCGTAGTAGTAGTAGTAGTAGTAGTAGTAGTAGTAGTAGTAGTAGTAGTAGTAGTAGTAAGTAGTAGTAGTTAGTAGTAGTAGTAAGTAGTAGTAGTAATAGTAGTAGTAGTAGTAGTACTAGTAGTAGTAGTGGTAGTAGTAGTAGTAGTTGTAGTAGTAGGTAGTAGTCGTCGGAGTCGCAGTAGTAGCAGCAGCAGTAGTAGTAGTAGAGTAGTAGTAGTGGTAGTAGTAGTAGTAGTAGTAGTAGTAGTAGGCAGTAGTAAGTAGTAGTAGTAGTAGTAGTAGTAGTAGTCGTAGTCGTAGTAGTAGTAGTAGGAGTAGTAGTAGTATAGTATTAGTAGCAGTAGTAGTAGAGTAGTAGTAGTGGTGGTAGTAGTAGTAGTAAGTAGCGTAGTAGCAAGTAACAGTTAGTAGTACGTAGTAGTAGTAGTCGTAGTGAGTAGTAGAGTAGTAGTAGTAAGTAGTAGTATAGTAGTGAGTGTAGTAAGTAGCAGTAAGTCGTAGTAGTAGTAGTAAGTAGTCAGTGTGGTGTAGAGTACATGTGTAGTAGTAGTAGTAGTATAGTAGTAGTAGTAGTAGTAGTAGTAGTGTAGTAGTAGTAGTACGTAGTAGTAGTCGTAGTAGTAGTAGTAGTAGTAGTATTCGTAGTAGTAGTAGTAAAAGCAGTAGTAGCAGCAGGCAGTGTAGCAGTAGTCGTATTAGTAGTGTAGTAGTAGTGGTAGTAGTAGCAGTAGCAGTAGCAGTAGCAGTAGCAGTAGTAGTAGTAGTATAATAATTCCGCCGCGCGCGAGGCTGCAGGCCACAGACCGGCGACAGACCAGGCGGTGATGTCGGCATCCCTCGGGAGGCCCCTGGGGCGCCCGGGGCGTCCTCGGAGCACGGGCCGGTGCGGCCGCCCCGAGGCCCCGAGCGGCCCCACCGCGCGGCGTGGCCTCGCCGCACCGCCTCGGGGCGCGCGCGGGGGGCCGCGGGGCGGGCGGGCCGAGGCCGCCCGGGGGCGCGGCGCGGCGGCCCGCGTCTGCAGCGGCCGCGCGGGCGGAGGGCCCGGCGGGGCGGAGGAGACAAGCGCGTTCCACGACCCGCAGAGGAGCTGCTCGCAAACGTCCTGGATCCGCCATGGGTGGTGCACGAGACATTGCAGCGATGCAGGCAGGTGTGTGCGTGTTTCTGTTCGGGCGGTTGCAAGTAGGCACTTGGCGAGTAGTGGAACGCGCTCGGTGGCGGAAGGAGGGGCGAGCGGGGCGAAGGAGGCGGCGGGCGGGCCGGCGGCGCAGAGGGCCCGCGGCGGCCCCCGGGGGCCTCGTCGTGCACGGCGGCCAGCGCTGCAGACTGGGCGGCGAGCTCGGCGGACCACGACGCGGCCAGGCGGCTGCTCGCGGCCTCGGCCGCGAGCATGCCCGGCAGCTCCGCGGACTGGAGACTGTTTGAACGCCTCTGGTGACGTCTCCGCTGAGCTCTACGGCGAGAATGTCTCGCGCTGCTGCCGTCGGGAACCGTATCTACCATCCGCTGTGCCATCGCATGCGCGAGCAGTTGGAGCAGCAGCAGCACTAGCGGTAGCGGCTTGAGCGTAGAGGTGGCGGAAGCAAAAAAGAATAATACAGACAGGGAGAGTCCACATAATACTGCGGTAGGCCGATGGACATTACAAGATCCACGTAGTCGACGTCGTGGCAGTCGCTATGGCAACTGCCGCCGTCGTCGCGACTATCGTCGTGGTGATCCCCGTGGTAGTCGAAGCACTAGCATAAGTGGTAGAACCAGCAGAAGCAGCAGTAGCATATTTGGTAATGCGAGTGACAAGAATAGAGTGGCAGAAGAAGTACAATAAGTAGGTATGGCAGCACTAGTAACAGGTGGCATGTGTAGTCGTCTTCGTCGCCAGGTTTGGTGGTAGTGGCAGCAGGCATCGCTCAAAATAATTGTGGACGACATGGTAGTGATTCAATGAGGACCGCACGATCATGGACACCACCAAATGTCCAACTATCAACCCAACGTAGTTTCGCATTACCACTTGCAACTATGATACAACATTCTCAACAACAGAAGTCTGATGTCGCATCGATTGTGAATGCAGCGCTGGGGTGGCAGAGGGGAGCATCCGTGGCGCATGCACGGATGGCTCCCAACCATAACGGTGGAAGAAGCAGCACCCTGACCTGAGAAGAAATACGCCGACAGGCCCTATACGAATCTCAGACACCCTCAAATCATGAAAACATACGACGGGAAACGTTTCGCTATTTTCGGCCTCTGAGGGCCCTTACCGCGCCCTGAGACCGTCAAAACACTACTCGGAATGAAAGTCGAGATCTTTGGGGGTCGAAAAGGTGAGAAAAAAAAGTGACGTCGGGGGTCTGGGATGGCAGGCATTCGTCACAACCGTAAATCAAATGCCAAAGCCCAACACCACGGCCAACCCTGGCAAAGCCCCTCTGGCCAATCCTGGGCTACGGCAAATTTCCCCGTAAGATCTAGGACGTCGACAAGCCCAGGCGCTCGCCCCCACCGCAAAGCAGCGTGCTGCCTGCTGCCGTTCGGACAGCAGCGCGCTCAGCAGCTCGCCGGACTCTCGGCGTGCCTCCTCGAGGTCGCCGGTCAGCGAACGCAGTCGCCTCTCCAGGACTGCCGCCTGCGCAGCGGGCGGACTATAGGTGTGAAAATGCAGAGAGCCGCCCCGCCCTTTGGGCCTTTGGTGGTTTCTACGGTCGGGAAGTTTGAAATGGCATGTCGCGGCGGCGGCCCCGGCATTGCAAGCGGATAGCGTGTCGCTCCGCTCCGCGGGGCGGGAGGCTGGGAGCAGCTCAGGACGCATCGAGCGCGTGTCGCGCCGAAGCGTGGAGGGCCAGAACCGGCGGAGCGGCACGCTGAGCCAAAACTCGTCACCGGAGGGGGTTCAGAGATCGTGTTCTTACGACGTCCTTCTTGCCCAGGCCGCATTGGCACACTGCATGGGTTTTCATCGGTCGAGGTGGCCAGATCAGACTGTTCAGAATGACGCTGGACACGCTTTGAAAGCCAATGAACTCTACGATTCCCGGCAAAACGCGCCTGGAAAAGGTAGCGACACCAGGAAGTCGAAGCAGAAATGCTTGAAGGATACAGTATAGCCTAGCATATGTGAAACCCCTCTTCTGTTCGAATAAAACCAGACAAGAAATTGAACCTCGCGCACGGTGGCAAAACCGGCAAACGTGCACTTCGGCGTGCCGCGCCACTATCCCAACAACATTTGGCTGCTCATAAAATCCGAATGTGTCCAAGCGGTCGACACACTCAGAAAATCGGTGACTAAACAAACAGACAAACTCGATCGGCAGCACATTGGCAGAACGAGTACCTGGAACATCGCATTGACACTTGCGGCAACAACAGTTATCGGACACATACAACGTCCGAAAGCAGGTGCTTCAAATGCATATGTTTGTCTTACTTGTACCGTATTCTGCGCGCACGGTGGTCCTAGATTCAACGGCACGGCTCCATGGCGCCATTCGTGCACAGATACCACCGTATCCCGGACATCCTCCCGCTGCGGCTCATCTTCCTCACCTCCTCCTCCCCATCTTCATCCTACATTGGCCCCCCAGATATCATTCCCATGGGGGCGTCCCCACGTGCAGCAGGTCTCAAACGAGCAATGGGGCATTGACCAAACAACGCAAACAGAAAAGGCAATACGCTTCTCAATATCGTATGTGACGCAATCAAGTCTCGGGATGAGTACGCCCAAATGCTGAGAGGTGCGGCACGCAATCACCCACATTACACGTCAAGCGGGCTAAGTTCGGATGGGCGATGCCATGATGCTAAAACGCAGACACACACACACACACACACACACACACACACGCACACGCACACACACACACACATTGCCCCACGCTCGCGCGTTGTGTTCGCTACCCCTTTACAACCTTGCCAGGCAGTGTTGCCTGGCCCCGCGTGTGTTGGGTGCCCAGTTTGAATTGAGCACTGCTGCGCATCCTGCCCTCCTCCCTCGCCTGCTCTTCGCTTCCTCCTCGCCTGCTCCCAGCCCCCCGCCCCTCGATCTCCCGGGGCGCGGCCGGCTCTCGCGCGCAGAGCTCGCGAGCTCCCGGGAGGTCCAGCGGAGAGACGCCTGAACTGTATAGGCCGGGCATGTCCTCCTGCAGGCGGGTTTGGAACGAAACTTGCGAAATGATCAAAAAAATGCTCCTCCCTCGCCTGCTCTTCGCTTCGTTTCCTTTTCGCCTGCTCCTAGCTTGGCCGTCCCTCGATCTCCTTGGGCGCTGCCAGCTCTCGCGCACAGTTCGTGAGCTCCTGGGAGGTCCAGCGGAAAGACGCCTTGACCAGATAATTGCGTTCCACTGCTCGCAGAGTAGCTATACATAGCAAACGGCCTGGATCCATTGCGTCGAGGCAAGCAAGCTCCATTGCATCGAACAGCGATTTTGGGGGGGACGTTTGCGAGTAGGCACTTTGCGAATAGTGGAACGCGCTCGGTGATTAACTGTGAGGCTCTGGGAAGTCCATCGTATCGACGTATCGGCTGGACCCAAACCAGACTTCGCCTCCCTTGGCGCTATCACATGCGCAACTGCCGCCACTGCCGTGAGCTCCTGGGAGGCCCACCAGAGTGACGTCTTCCGCAGACACGAGCTAGACCTCCCCTCCCTTAGACGAGCGCGTTCCTACTCGCAAATGGCCTGGATACGCCGCGGAGGATCTACGATAGATTACGTCGAGGCGAACATTTGCTTTTCGGACATTTGCGAGTAGGCGCTTTGCGAGTAGTGGAACGCGCTCGGTGATCCCTAGGGGCTGCCACCTGCGCAATTCGCGCCCCTGCCGGGAGCTCCCAGGAAGTCCAGCGCAGCAACGACTTGCGCATGCAATCAACTGTCCTCCGGTGTCACCTCATATCCGCCACCGTGCCCCCCTGGCACGTTGAGGAATGGTAGAGAGGTATGCCTAAGGGTGAAATAAACCTGCGTAATGTTTTTGCGTAGTGTTTTTGCGTAGTGTTGTTACGTAGTGAGTTTTTTTATTTCACCCTCAAAATTTCTATTTCACCATCAAAATTCTGATTTCACCATTAACCACAACCGTCGGAATGGTATACAATTTGACTGGTGCATGGCACGGTTTGTGCAAGACTTCTCTATAGGCCGCCCCCCCTCACGGCCACGCCTCCTCGCGTGCGCCGCCCTTCCCCTTCTCTTCTGCGGCCTCCCTGGCCGGCCGGACGCCCCCCTGGGCGCAGCCCCACGAGGGCAGCAGGACGGCCCACGAGGGGCCCAAGGTGGCCCAAGAAGGCCCCAATAGGCCCTCGAGACAACCCCGAAGGACTCCTCTAATGGCCAAGATGGGCTCAAGACGGCCCCACGATGGCAGCAGGACGGCCCATGAGGGGCCCAAGATGGCCCCAGAAGGCCCCAATGGGCCCTGGAGACAGTCCCGAGGGACCTCCTCGAATGGCCAGGATGGGCTCAAGACGGCCCGAGACTGCACCGGGCCAAAGAGGGCCCCAAGACGGGCCAAAAAGGTCCCAAGAGGGCCCCAAGACGGCCGCACAGGAGCCCAAGACAGCCACAAGACGTTCCAGGTAGGCCCCATGAGAGCCCATCTAGGATTCGAGACGAGGGGTGTGACATTTTACGACCTTCTGGGCGGTGCTGGAAGCGTCGCCGCACAGAGTACTGCGCTGGCACGGAGGTGGAACTTGCCGCAGGCAGCTGGGCACGTTTCTTTGGGCGCGCAATGCCTAAGTTCCCCACGAGTCTTGCAGAAAGCACAGCGCGCATGCTCATGAATATGGATGCGCCCGTTGATATTTCAACTTGTTGAAAGATGGGCTGGTTACTTCCCTGGGTAGCTGTATTGCCCCCCCGCAGGGAGAATCGCCTCGTCTCCCACAGAAGGTACTTGCACTCTGTCCCACAGGGAGAGCTGGATTGTTTCCCGCAGGCAGTGCTGTCTGGCCGTCTCGAAATGACAACTTCTTATGCCGTCTCCCGCAGGAGGCTGCTGTGTCTCTCGCAGTGAATACTGCACGGCTGGGTACGGAGCTGCACGGTTTCCCCCCGGGCCGTAGGCGACCCGAGGAGGAGGAGGAGGAGGAGGAGGAGGAGAAGGAGGAGGACGGGTCGCCGAAGCCCTTCGGAGAAGCCCTCCGTGCGGCGTCCCCCGCCGACGTGGGCCCTCCGTGCTCGCGCTGCGGACCGCCGGCACGGGTGCGGGCCGCCGCGGGCACCGGGTGCGGCCCGCCGAGCGCGCGCGGAGCAAGGGACAAAGGGCGCGTCGGGTGTGGGCCGCCGCCTGCGCTGGGCACGGGCCGCCGCGATCGGGCGCTGGGTGTGGGACGCGGGCTGGGCGGGCACTCAGCGCTGCAGCAGCGCTGAGTGCCCGCAGCGAGCGGGCACTGGGAGTGGCCGCAGCGCTGCCGTGCCTCCGGGGGCCTCAGGGTTCCCCCGTCGTGGAAGGCGGAGGCGGGGTCCAGGATGGGAGGAAGAGGAGGACAGGATGAGGAGGGAGGAAGAGGAGGAGAGGAGGACAGGATGGGAGGAAGAGGAGGACAGGATGAGGAAGAGGAAGAGAAGGAAGAGGGAGGAGGGAGGAAGGAAGAGGGGAAGAAGAGGAGGAAGAGGAGGACAGGATGAGGAAGGGGAAGGGACGAGGGGCGGCAGCAGGAGGCACGCAGAGACGGAACATCACGAAGAAATCGCGATCATTGCTTCGGGATCGGGCATCCACCAGTCCGTCGGCACGGCGCTCCACCCCCCGGTTAGCAGCACTGCCCTCCCAGACTTCGAACGCCGAGACTCCAGTCAGAAAGCTAGGGCAACTACCTTCGCGCTTCGCGCTCCGCGGAACGCGAAGCGCGATCATCTTCGCGCTTTCGCGCCGCCGCCCCAAGGAACAGGATTCCTCGTGACCCACAGGGGGGTCCAGCTGAAGGGGATGGTGCAATAGATTTGGGGCAATTGTATTGCACATGTATTGCGCCAGAGAATTGTATTCGATCGTATTGCAACTCATCTATTGCACGCAAAATCCAGCAACACACTTGCGCCCTGGAAGGTATTGCACACCCCATACCGGCTGCAACCCCACAAATCTATTGCGCCACCCCCTCTTCGCTGGACCCCCTTCTGGGTCAACCAGAAGGATGCGGGACTCGCGCCCCGCACTGAAATCGCCCAGACCGCGAAGCGCGGAGTGCGACTAGCTTCGCACCCGCGCGGGGGCCCTAGGAAAGGATGGGCCCTGGAACTCTCGGCCCCATCCATGGGATCGGTCTCCCGTCGCGGGTCCGTTCTCGATTGCCCCAGGGCCAGAGACCGGCACCTGGACGTGAGAGTCGCTGAGAGCGTCCGCCCTGAGGCGTCCAGAGGTCCGGGCCTCGGGCCCCAGAGCCGAACCCCCGAGACCCGTCCAGCAGCGCCTTCGCGCCAGGCTCTCCGACTTCACCCCCTGGCGACGAGGACGCCCCAGCAGGCCCAGAGCAAGGCGAGAGGCTTCGAGGACCCCTGGCCTCATCACGTGACTACCTGCCGGACCACCCCAACCCAACCCGAAGACCCGAACTTCGGGTTAGGGGGGGTAATTACGGGCTCCAGATGTGCTTTTTCAATGTCCCCCGACCCCCCCCCCCTCACCACCACTGGAAATGGAGGGCACATCAGGGCCTTCGGGTTGGGTTGGGGTGGTTTGGTGGGCGATGATCGCTCACCCCAGACCCCCGACGTCGTGATCTTTTCATGACGTCGACCCCCAGAGGTTTCGACCAATTCTCCAGGACGGGTTTTCCATCCTGAGCCTTTTTTTGACGGCCCTGAGGCCCGGCAAGGGCCCCCAGAGCCGGAAGTTTTGAAAAGCCTCCCGTCGTGATTTTCTCATTACTCGAGGGGGCCTGGGATCACTCACGGCCTCTCCTCCTGATCGCGCGCACCTCTCGCCGGGGATGTGCGGAAGGTCTTCCGAGAGCCCCCGCCCCGAAGGGGGCCCCCCGAGCGGCAGAGCCGGCCGACCGTGCGTGCGCGCCTGGGCCGAGCGCCGGCGCTCCACTTCCACCTGGCGCGGGGGAGGAGGAGGAGGAGGAGGAGGAGGAGGAGGAGGAGGAGGAGGAGGAGGAGGAGGAGGAGGAGGAGGAGGAGGAGGAGGAGGAGGAGGAGGTGGAGTGAGGAGGAGGAGGAGGAGGAAGGAGGAGGAGGAGGAGTGAGGAGGAGGAGGAGGAGTGAGGAGGAGTGAGGAGGAGTGAGGAGGAGTGAGGAGGAGGAGGAGGAGGAGCGAGGGGAAACGACAAAGGGAGAAGGGGGGGGGGACTGCGCGCCGCCGTAATCTGGGCGGGCAGATATCCACATCCGCCACTCTCGGAGATGCTTGGGCTCGACGCCAACGCGGTGGATATCGATATACATCCTGGCGGTGGAGACTGGCCGAGTTGGGGGAGCAAGGACTCGGAATCAGCGGTGCATCGCCGACGGATCAGCGACCGACCCCCGGTAGCGAGACCGCACCGCTCCTGGGCGGGGTGTGGGCGCCGGGGCCCCGACGGGGCGACGAGTGGGCGATCGGGGGGTCGATGCTCCCATCCCTGGGCCAGTCCACCTCTGCCTGTCGCTGCCCCTGACGAGGTGGAAGGAGGAGGACGGCAGGGTGCTCGGCCAGGAGCACAGGTGCTGCCAGGTGCTGCCATCGACCCTCCAGGACCAAGGATCTGGTCTGTTGACGTTTCTGGACCTGCTGGGCCCTGGGGGGGCTCCAGGGGCGCACGGAGACGGCAGACTGCCAAGGTTTGGCCTCGGCCCTGGAAGACCAGGGGTGGGGTCAGACGCTGTTGGGGCCACGCTCAGTGTCACGTCACCGAAATCGGATGAGCAGCTCATCGAACGGCCGAAAGCCCTCGGGTCAACTTCGTCGCCCCCCTTCCCTGTGGACTGGCGTCCGAAGCTACAACTTGTTTGCAGCCGTCGAACCGCATGGGGCATCCACCAAAAACTGCAGCAACTAGAACAGACCAACATTCCGAAGTCACAGTGCTGTTCGTGGCGTGCCTTCCTGGGGCCCTCGACCCCTTGCCTGGGATCGGCTCTTCCATCCTGGATCCTTTTCTCTGACTGTCCTGGAGCCCAAAGGGCGCCTCCAGAGGCCGAAAACGTGGAGGGGCCAGCAGCACGAATTCCCCTGATTCAGGAAATCTGAGGTAGACCAGCCCTGCTTGATTTGGCAACCCCGAACGCGAGCACGATGAGCGAGCGCAGGCGCGTAACGCACCCCCCCACACACACACACCCACACACACACACACACACACACGATTGCTCCGACGCTGCGCTGGGTTGCACACACCAGTTGTGCAAAGCCAAGCACGAGTGCTATCAGGACGGATGACCCGCCTTGCGTGGAATGCGCGCAGCGCTGAAAACCCTGCCATGTATTGGGGGTGGGGGGCGTAGCCGAACGCTGCGCAGCAGAACACGCACACACACACAAACACAAACACAAACACAAACACACGCACACACTCGACCTCCAACTCAGCGCCAGCTTGTAAACACCGGTGGTTAACCGACATACACAGTATGGACGCGCGAAGTAACGGGACGCGCACACTATAGATATTCCACCTTGCGTGGAGACGTGAACACCACTGTAAACAAAAGAAAAGCCAGGCAAAGCCGATCGTTTTGCAGCGCTCCACTGGCGGCGTAGGGACAGTGAGGCCAACAGAATCAAGAAAACGCCACGCCGGGGAAGGAGAGGGGGAACAGAAAGAGGGTCAACGGCAAGCCCGATTGTGCCACAAAAGGGACTCAGCAGGCCGGATAAACTGGTGGAAGCCACATCCCCTTATCCTCCGCTGCGCCAGTGGCACCAATAGGCGGAGACCAGGTCAGGCGGGGCACGCACCAGGCCAAATTGACCACCCTCTGCGACAACGCGGCAAATTACCACAGCAAAGCACCCGAATAGCAGCTAAGGTGTGGAGGCGGATGGAAGCCTGAAACGTCCGCTTGCCAGAACGACCTCATCATACTGTCGGTACGAGTACGGAGTTAAACCCTAGGCACAGGTGTAAACACACATGGGATTCGAGCCACAAGAGAAGGGCAATATACAGGCACATTCAAAAAACAACTCATAGGGTTCGAGCCACAGGAGAGGGGCAATGTATTGCGACATGCGTGAAACACACAGGATTCGAGCCACAGAAGAGAGGCAATATATAGGCACATACGTAAGCACATATGAGACTCCAGCCTCAGGAGAGGGCCGATCCATAGACACATGCGTAAAAACAGATACACACAAACACAAGTTGCCTGCTACAGAAGTGGGCAATCCATAGGCACATATCCTACGTAAAGGACATACAGTGCGAGCCACAGGAGTGAAATCGAGCCAGATCACCATAGTGAGCGCTGCCGGTTGATTTCGGGCCGCGCCCGTGCCGCCAGAAAACCACAGTGAGTCGCCTTTCTGGACCAAATCGGGCCAGAGCACCCTGGTGAGCGCTGCCGGCAGATTCCCAGCCGCGCCCCCAGGCCGCTGAGACGCCTCCCCCCAGCCCCCCCCCTGAGGAGACTGACTGAGTCTGCTTTTTGTTCTCTGGCAAGTTTACTTGCATGGACGGGGGGGGGGGCCTGCACCTGAAGCAAACCGCAAACGACTTGACGTGCGAGAATCAAGTCGAAAGGCACTTGCACGCTCGCTCGTACTCGATTGAAGAGGGGCGAGGGCGGGGGGAGCGAACGCCATGCAAGTAAACCTGCCTGAACCTAAAGAACAACAAGATCATTCTGGCGAGAGGAAATCTTCGAGCCCGCTGACGACACGCTACCAGGGCAAAACCCAGACTGGTCAAGCCCTCGGACCCGACGCGAAAAAGCTGGGGGGCGCAGGCGGGAGCTACAGCGGCCAGCGGCACCGCTGAGACACCGGCGGAGCCTGGGAGTGACAGCAGAAGCGGGACGGTACAGGGCGCACGGGCCGGCAGGGACGAGGGCGGAGCCACGGGGAAAAGCGGAACATGTACGCCACCTGCCTTCCCTCCTCCCCACCAAGAGTTGACCTGCTACATACGGAGGCGCAGCCTCCCCAAAGCATGTGCGCTGATCTGCCCGGCCTCTAGAGGAGGAGTCCTCGGAGGAGGTACCGAGGACCCAAGGGCATCGCGACCCCAGTACCTCGACAGCTGCCAGCAATGGCAATCACGTGTCATCCCCACGCCTCCGTGAGAAAATGACTGCGCCAGGGTCCACACGACCAGCGCGGGTCGCGGGCCGTATCAACCAGCGGCCTCGCCACAGTGCGACTGTGCAGCGACCTCCCTCTGCATGCTTCGCTGCTCGACCCGGGGGGGAGCCACCAGGCGACCACGGGCAGCTGCCAGCTCGGCGCGCAGCGATGCCTCCTCAGCCTCCAACTCCTCGTTCCACTCGTCGTCGCCGAGGGAAGTGTCGAGCACTTCAGGCTGGTCCATTCGCCACCGAGCCGGTCACATGGCGCAGGCCGCCCAAGCAAAGCCCACGGAGGCAAGCGGCTTCAAGTGAGCCCACAAGGGAGGGGGGGGGGAACTCGCAAAGAGTGAAGAGGACACCAAGAGAGACTCCAACAGCATTCACGAATCTGGTCATCATCCCTCCCATACTTCCAGCGGGCTCCCTCATCCTGAGGACTGGGGCAAGGCTGGACCTCTGTGTCCAACGGAAGCCTCCAAATAACTCAAGTGCTGGGAGTACTCGCGTTTGCCCGATATCGCCATGCGCGTGATCGAGAGAGCACGGGGGAATAAACTGCACACTCCAGCGCTGAAGCAATTCCTGAGCTGACCCTTCCAAGCACACCCGAAACGCCGCCACTGAATTGCGTTCGAATCAATGCACGCGTGCGTCATACAAGGGCGCACGACATCCAGCAGAAATCCAAAGTTTTCAGCTGCATGTGATGCGCGACTCTCGCAAGCATCGCACACATTCGACGGGAGTCCACAATACTTCTATGCCCAGAAAATAAGGTTTCAACCTCTAAGCCTGCAAGCCGACCATGGACACCAGGACGCCTGACGGAAAGATGTCGCGCTCTCACTGGAGATCATGTTGCCATGTAGATCCCAGGCCATTCCTGGATCCGTTCCCAAGACGGCTCATAGATTTTTGTACGGAACCAACTAGAGTCTTCCCTGTCAGGACAAACCCAAGCACTTCTTGACTGCTCAGAGGAAGCCACACTTTGAATACAGGACTGGCAGAGCAAAGCGAACAAGCGAACCAGGATCGCAAGAAGCCAGCACTCGCGCGAGATCATCGTGCACCCGGACAAAAAGAGCATGCCCGTATTTTCCCATATGTTCTTGGGGATCGACGATCAATTGTGTCTGTGTGTCTTTTTCCCTCCTGAATAACCAATTTGACCGTTGGGGGGGGGGGGGGGGGCAGGTGCCGATTACCTGACCTTTTCGCCTTGGCCAGCCGTCGCGTATGCCCGCGCGCACCAGCGCTGCGCACCCCCCTCGGAACTGCGCAACCGACAAGGTCAGGTTGCTCCGGACTTCGTGATTCAAGGGAGGGGGGTCTCATTTCGGGGGGGGGGTCTCTTCCAGGCTATCTTGGGAGGGCCTGGGGGGGTCTGGGGACGAGGTTTGGGAGGGCTCTCCCACGGGGGAGGTCTGAAGTGGCTCGTCTTGGAGGGTCCAGACCCCCTCCCCTTGATTACGAAATCCAGGGTAATTATCTGGGTGGGAGGGGAGTGGGCGGGCCGGGTTAACCCGGGTCACCGCAGGATCCCCCAAGAAACACCCTCCAGGCTCCTATGAGCGACAGCGCCGCACGTCGGAACCCCGACCTCTCGACCACTTCCCCCGGACCGTTCTTGCAGCTCGAGGCGTTTCCTGACCGTCCCGAGGCCCGCGGAGGGCCCCGCGAGGCCCAAAAGCTATGAAAAAGCATGCGCCTCGAGCTCTTCGAGACGCCGGGCCTCCGGGAGCGACAGCGCCGCACGCCAGAACCCCACACGGGCGCCGCTCCGCAGCAGGCCCGCCACTGCCGAGCGCGGCGCGCGCGCGCGCGCGCCGTGGGCCCAGCGGCCACGGGGGGCCAACGCACGCGCGCCACCTGCAGAGGGGGCGCCGCGCGCGAGCGGGGGGCTGGCCCGGCGGCGGCAGCGCGGCGAGCGTCGGCGAGCGCCGGCGGACCGAGCGCACGGCGCGCCACCGCACGCCGAGGGCGACGGCGACGACGTCGCCGTCGTCGTCGCCGTCGGCCGCGCCGTCGTCGGGGGAGAGGAGGGGGGACAGGCCACGAAAATATACACGCGGACACCCTCCGAGGAACTTTGCGTGTGCCTTCAGGGAAGGCGGCGGTGTAGAAGGTCGCCGGCTCCCAGTGGGGATCCATGCACCGCCGCCCCGCCAGGGAGGCCCAGGAACGATCCATTGAAGGGTGCCCCTGTGGATATGTCTTGTGGCGAAGGGAAGCTCGCAGACGGCCCGCACTGGCGTGAGACCGCCACGCAAGGGGCCCGGACCCCCGACGTCACGACTTTTGTCGCCACGTCGACCCCCAGAGGTCTCGACCCACTCCCCGGGATCGGTTTCCCGTCCCGCGTCGTCCGTGGGCGGCCCCGAGGCCCCGGCGAGGGCCCCCAAAGGGGCCGAGAAGAGCGAAAAGCCTCCCGCCGCGGGTTTCGTCATGACTCGAGGTGGTCTGGGGGGGGGGGGGGGGGCAGCGGTAGGCCCTCCTTCTCTCTCCGCGGCAGGGCACCCGCGCCTGCGCGGCCAGCCGTGGAGCCGAAGGAGACCTCGCTCGATGCACTCCCGAGGAGAGCCCCTCGAGGCGCGGCGGCTCTCCCCCCGGCGGCTCTTCGTCCTGCCCCTCGGCCTCCCGGCGGCTGCGCCCGGCTGCCGCGGCTGGACCCTCCTTGAGAAACCCAGGGCCCCGACGCTGCGATGGAGGCAGCGTCGGATCCCTGGGCTGATGCCTCGGCGATGCATCGGCGACGCCGGCGTGGAGAAAACCGGGCTCCACACCGAGCCGCGTCGCCAATGCATCGCCGATGCGGCGCGGTCCTCCGACCCCATCTGCGCGGACCCCACCTGCAGAAGGCCCAGATCCACGGCATTTGGAGCGGGCGGTGCTGGGCCGTCTTCGGCCTCTGGGGGGGGGGCCCTCGCCGGGCCTCGGCGGCGTCAAGAAAGGACCAGGGACGCAAAGCCGGCCCTGGGGAACTGGTCCGGACCTCCGGGGCATAGGCATCGAGCAAAAAAATGGGGCCGCTGGATGCCCGGGGCCCCAGACCCCCGACGTAACGAACTTTTATTGCGTCGACCCCCCGAGGTCTCCACCTGTTCCCCGGGACCGATTCTGCATCCTGAGTCGTTTCGACGGTCCCGAGGCCCGGTAAGGGCCCCCAGAGGCCGAAAGTGGCGAAAAACCTCCCGTCCTGGTTTTTTCATTGCCCGAGGGGGTCTGGGGCTGGACCCGCCTCGAAAAACGGGTCAGGTTGGACCCCGCGAGGGGTCTGGTCCGGGCACAAGTTCTGCGCGGCCGGGGGGGGAGAACTGCCATTGTCTCTCAACGTGCCCTCCTCCGCGATGCGTGGCCGCGGCAAGCTCGAAAAAACTGCACAGGAGCCGAGCACTGCAAGTAGGACCTACAGACCCAGACCCCCTCGAGTCATGACAAAATCCCGACGGGAGGTTCGTCGCCATTTGCGGCCTCTGGGGCCCCTTGCTGGGCCTCGGGGCCGTCAAAAAACGACTCGGGATGAGAAACTGGACCCCCGGGGAAGGGGTTCAGACCTCTGGGGGGAGGAGAAGGAGGAGGAGGGAAGGAGGAGGAGGAGGAGGAGGAGGAGGAGGAGGAGGAGGAGGATCAGCGAGGAGGAGGAGGAGGAGGAGGAGGAGGAGGAGGAGGACCTCTGGGGGTCGACGCTGCAAAACAAATCACGACGTCGGGGGTTTGGGGAGGAGGCGCCGTGGGGTCGGATCTCGGGCGGGCTTCTGCTTGCGCGGTCCCGGCGCCCCTCCTCCGTGTCGAGCTCCAGGGGCTGCCGTCGAGCCCCGGGGGCCATCAGGAATGGGATCTGGGATGCAGAGACTGTCCCTCCGGGTCCTCCTCCTCCTCCTCCTCCTCCTCACTCCTCCTCCCTCCTCCTCCCTCCTCCTTCCTCCTCTCCTCCTCCTCCTCCTCCTCTCCTCCTCCTCCTCCTCCTCCTCCCCCTCCTCCTCCTCCTCCTCCTCCTCCTCCTCCTCCTCCTCCTCCTCCTCCTCCTCCTCCTCCTGGCCCCTGGGGAGAGGGTCGGCACCTCCAGGCCCGCGACCTGAAAAACGGCACATCGGACGCCCAGGGAGAGAAGGTATTGGCTGCTGGTCAGAAGGTGAAGCCGCTGCGACGCTTCGGTTGCATCAGCACCTCCACGAGACTAGGGTATGATCTAGCATTAGGTCGGGTATGTCCTCCTACAGGCGGATGTCGGAAGAAAAACAAAAAATAGTCAACAATACCTAGAAACATGCAAAAATAATCAAAAAACCATCCCCAGACTATTTTTTGACTGTTCTTGGCTACTCCTGCTGTGGAGGAACATGCCCGACCTAAATCTAGCAGCGGTGCGCAGCGGCGGCAGTGCGCGGGGCGTCTAGCGTTCGACCGCCACCCCCCCCCGGCAGAGCCGCACCACCGCCTGCTGGGGAAAACCGTGCGCCCAGAGGCCTTGCGACGACACGCCGCGGCCGTGGCGCCTCCCGGGCCAGCCGCGCCCCGCTTTCTTCCACGCACGCGGCAGCCGTGCCTACAGCTAGGGGGCCACATGCGAACCCTACCCCTACCCCCCACGATTTCTGAGGGGGAGGGGGGGCTTCACTTCGCTCGGAAGCTCCCGAGCGAAGTGAACCCCACCCTCCCCCTCAGAAATCGTGGGGGGTAGGGGTAGGGTTCGCATGTGGCCTTCTAACAGCGGAGACCCATGCCAAGATACACCCAGCTTGCCTCCAGGGTGCCCCGGGTTTCTTGGGTTTGCGATGGACAGCGTGGAGTTCTGGCACCAAAAACCGATGGACGTCCTGGGGTCTCAGGGTTGGGTCCTTTTGGGGAAGGTTTCGTGTGGTCGGGTCCATACTGAATGCTCACGACGCCCGACAACCACGCGACGGCCGCGACGGCTGGGAGCAGGTATAAAGCAGCTCACGGAAGATTCTGGTCGACCCCACAGCGCCCAATAGCGAGCCCAATCGCGCGCAAAGCGAACATAGTGCATCTCCCTCACATGGCGCAGGTGGGCGCTATCGGTCACTTTTTGGGGCACTACTTGGGCGCTATGTGAACGATGTTCGGCGCTACTGGGCGCTTTTGGGCGCTGTTGGTCGCTATTGAGCGCTCTTGGGCGCTCTGCGCCGATATACGTTCAATGTAAGACGAGCGGAAGCCTCCGTGATTTGCCCGTGTTCGGCAAACTTGTCATGGGGAAAGCTGGCCAAGACCATCGCGAAGGCCTTCCCGACCAAGGCCTTCAAGGACGAGTTCTGAGGGCCGTGGACTGACACCTCGACCAGACGGGCGTCTTTGAGGTGCAGGGCAGCGGGGATCCCGTTGAGACCTCACGGCTCCCTTGGGGGCTGCGGACGGTGCAATTCGAGCGGAAGCCTCCGTGATTTGCCCTCTGAGAGCGGGCGCCCCCGGGTGGGCTCACGCGAAGGCCTCGAAGCGGAGCGCGTCGGTGGCCTGCTGGCGCAGCTGCGCCTGCCGCCAGGCCCGCCGCCGCGCCGGCGAAGAGGCCCGGTCGGCCTGGCCGCGGGGCGGTGGCGGGCAGGCGTCGGCCCCCTCCGAGAGGGCCACGCGCACCCCCTCTCGGCCCTCGAAGATCGAGGAGGGAGGCGACCCTGCTGCAGTCGTCGGCGGTAACCCAAGTGACCCAGCGGGGGGGGAGGGGGGAAGGGCTTAGCCGATGACCTAACCTTTTCGCGTTGGGCAGCCCCACGGATGTCCGCGCGCATCGGTAGCGTGACCCCTTCGGATCTGCGCAACTGACAGGGCCAGTCTTCCAGGGATGGGAGGGGGGCCGGGCGGGCCCGATAGCCTGGGACATCGCCAGAACCAAAATAACAACATCGAGGCGTCGAACCAAATAACCAAAATAACCACGAAAACAACCAGGAAAGGCAGATCGAGAAATCCGCTGCCCCTCAGGAAAGGTCCCCTATCGCGCGACTCGTGGACAAACGAGCACAGCGAGGCAGGTGCACCGCAAGTCGAATCGCGAGGGGAGGGAGGCGTCCGTGCATCATGTTCGCAGGGCTCTTGCGCACGTCCGGCCCTGTAAAAACAGCAGCAACAACAACAGCAACAACAACAACAACAACAACAACAACAACAACAGCAACAGCAACAGCAACTACAACTACAACTACAACTACAACTGCAACTACAACTACAACTGCAACTACAACTACACCAACAACAACAACAACAACAACAACAACAACTATCAGTTTGAGACTGTTTGCCCTTATCTGCTCGAGTGTCCAGTAACGCGTCTTTCCCAAACCTTCGATACCCACCCCCTTCGTCTTCGATCGAACCCCTTCTGGGGGGTAGACCTTTCTTCCCTGCAGGCCGGGCCTTGGCAAGCGGCGGGGCGGCCGCGGACCGACGGCCTGGCCAGCGGCAGAGCTGATCGGCGGGGCGGCCGCGGACAGTCGACCCGACCCCAGGAAGGACGGACAGGGGACCGACCGCGACGACGACGACGACGACGACGACGACGACGACGACGACGACGACGACGACGACGGCGACGACGACGACGACGACAACGACGAGCGAAAGCGAGAGCGAGAGAGAGCGACAGCAGGGCCACAAGGACACGAAGTAGGCCACGAAGGGCGACAGCGGGGACACGAAGGGAATGCGTATGGGGCCACGAAGAGCGCGAACGAGCGGGGGCCACGAAGGGCAGATAATGCAGGGTCACAAAAAGCAACTATGGGGCCACTGAGGGTAGCAACTGGGCCACGTAGGACAATGAGGGGGCCACAACAGCGACCGCGCGGCCACGAAGGGCATACAGATGGGGCCCCAACGGGCGCCAACGAGCGGGGGCCACGAAGGGCACACGTATACTGGGCCGCGGAGGGCAAGGACGGGGCCACTGAAGGCAGCAACGGGGCCACGAAGGGCAGCGAGGGGGCCACGAAGGGCGACAGCGGGGCCACGAAGGGCATGCATATGGGGCCCCAACGGACGCGAACGAGCGGGGGCCACGAAGGGCATACGTATACTGGGCCGCGGAGGGCAAGGACGGGGCCACTGAGGCCAGCAACGGGGCCACGAAGGGCAGCGAAGGGGCCACGAAGGGCAACAGCGGGGCCACGAAGGGCTGCGACGGAGCCACGAAGGGCAGCGAGGGGGCCACGAAGGGCTGCAACGGGGCCACGAAACAAAGCGAGGGGGCCACGAAGGGCTGCAACGGGGCCACGAAGGGCAGCGAGGAGGCCACGAGGGGTTGCAACGGGGCCACGAAGGGCAGCGAGGGGGCCACGAAGGGCTGCAACGGGGCCACGAAACAAAGCGAGGGAGCCACGAAGGGCTGCAACGGGGCCACGAAGGGCAGCGAGATCCCGATTCCTAGGTAATCTGTGAGGGAGTCCTAAGCGTGAGAACGACTCCTGGGTGCCCGGGTGTCGGGAGCGCGACGCGCTTGAATAAATTACAAAAAATCCTACGCAAGGGCGCCATTCTTCAGTAAATCGCAAGCAAGTCTCCAGCGAGAGCGCGACTCCAGAGCAATTCCTGAATACATTGTGAGGAAGTCCCAAGAGAGAGTTGATTCCTGAATAAAATGCGAGGACGTCTCGGGCGGGAGCGGGGGTCCTGCCTAAATTGTAAGGAAGTATCAGGCGGGAGCCGTTGTTGTTGTAACTCGGGGGCCAGGGGCCAAGTTTGAGCCTCAAGACTCTCCCTGATAAAACAAGGTGCGAGCGTCGAGGGGCACACTTCGATTAAGAAAAAACAAACTGCACCGGTGGGGGGGATCAACAACAATTCTTCTTCAGAAATGAGAGCACAACAACAACATCATCAACAACAACAATAACAATAACAATCATTCATAAAACTGTTCGCTCTTACTTGCCCGCGTGTCATTCAAAACGAGTTCCCCACACCCTCGATCCCCGCTCTTTTTGTCTTCGATCACACCGCCTTTGGGGGGATTATTTATCTTTGCGGGGGGCGGCGGGCTTAGACAGGCGGGCAAACCTGAACGGGCGGACAATCCTTCATGGGCGTACATGTGCCCGCCATTGGCATTGGTGTGGGCCCTGTAAAAAGAAGAGGGGGAGAACGAGGGAGACTGGGAGGAAGGGAGGGGGAGGGACGAAGGAAGAGGGAAAACGCGAGGAGAGAAGGAGCGAAGAGGGGGGCGGTTGATTACAGGCAGAGAGAGTCAGAGAGAAAGACAGATAAGAGAGGTAGAGAAAAAGAGAGAGAGAGAGAGAGAGAGAGAAAGAGGGGAGAGAGAGAGAGAGAGAGAGAGAGAAAGAAAGAAAGAAAGAAAGAAAGAGGGAGGGAGGAGGCACGAGAGGGGAGGGAGAAGGGAGGAGGGAGAGGAGGGAGAGGGGATAGGGCAGAGAGGCAGAATGATGAGGGAAAAAAGGAGGGAGAGAGAAGGGAGGAGAGGAGGGAGGAGGGAGGAGGGAGGAGGGAGGAGGGAGACGGAGGAGGAGCAGGAAGGTAAGAGCGTGAACGTTCGGGAAGTCCTAAGCGAAAGCGCCGTTCCTGAAGGAAGTCTCGGGCGGGGGCCCACGACGGGCGGGCGATCCCCTGACGGGCGGGTCGGGCGGGTGGGACATTCAAGCGGGATGCCTGAGTATGGCGAGAGCGCGACTACTAAGTAAATTGTAACGGCGTCATTGGTTCAGCGTGTTTCCTGAGCGTCGAAAGCGCGATTTCTGAATAAATTGCATGGAAACCAAAGGCGAGAGCGCAACTCCTGAATAAAATGTGAAGGGTTCTCTGGCGGGAGCGGGGGTCTTGATTAGATTGCGAGGAAGTCTTGATTCAACTGCGAGGAAGTCTCAAGCGGGAGCGCCGTTCCTGAGTAAATTGTGAGGAAGTCTCAGATGGGAGCGGGGGTCCTGACTAGATTGCGAGGACGTCACAGGCGGGAGCACCGATCCTGAGTAAATTGTGAAGAAGTCTCAGGAGTGGGGGTCCTCAGTAAATTTGGAGGAAATCTCAAGCGGGAGCCATTGTTGTTGTAATCCGGGGGGCCAAGGACCCAGTTTGAGCACCAAGACTTCCCCTGACAAAAAACAGGGTGCGAGCGTCGAGGGGCACACTTTGATTGAGAAAAACAATATGCACCGGTGAGGGAGGATCAACAATAATTATTCTTCAGCAATGAGACTTGAACAACAACAACAACAACAACAACAACAACAATCACTTTACCCGAACGCTCAGTGTTCTCACCAGTGCCAGGGTTTTCATGCGACGCCAGCCAATACCCCCACTTTGTGGGGGGGCAGTGCAAGCTCTACCAAATATCCACACGACTCTTCGCCACCACCCACACCCAGCTTCCCGCCCTATGACGTTCGGACACTTCACTTCGTGGCCTGCGGACGACCGTGGCTACTACACTGGCGTGGAGTACACACCCACAGAAGTTGTTAAGCCTACGTTCGTACACCCACAGAAGTTGTTAAGCCTTGTTAACCCACAGAAGTTGTTAAGCCTTCCACAGAACATCTGTTGCATATGATGCATATGGTACATGATACACATGATACACATGATACGTACTCACAAGATAGTTGATCACATCTTTAGGGCAAATTCCTGAGGGATGTGGGAATACACAAGAGAGAGAGGATATGGTTGTCCCAGCGCGCGGGTAAAATTTTGAAAAGTCGTGCAGGTGTTTTTCGAGGACCTACGGTGCGATTCGTGTGATTTTATGATGCGCGGTGCTAAAATTCTTAAGAAGCCCAATGGTTTTTGGAGATTTCGGCGTGCGCGCGCGAAGAAAAAACGAATGTGTCCCGCATGGTATTATTTGACAGGGATGATGGCCCTGGCAGGTGCGCAACCGTTGTCGCAGAAGTTCGAAAAAGTTGCTCGCAAAAGCCCGTTTGACAGAAATGTTTAAAAAGTGTTGGGTTTCCTACGAATCCGCAAGAGCGCGCGGGATGAGATTTTGACATTTTTTGTTGAAAAACCATTGGTTTTTTGATGTTTTTATGTTAAAATCGCTCCGAACACTAAGCTTTTGGAAGGATTTCGTCTTGCGCGCGCGAATGTCCACTTTACCTTATTTTTTGCAAGGGATTCTTGAAATTTGATTATATTAGAACAAGAAATGTCATTTTATAGTGTTTTTTGCAAGGGAAAGCGGGGGGGAACAAAACAACCGGATCTTGATCACATCGAATTACCTGAGGCTTCCTCACGAAAATGATGAAAATGTAGCTGCGGCCTAGGCGGCGCAGGGGGGGCGTGCACCAGGGGTCCCAACAATAATTATTCTTTAGAATTAATAATGTTCAACAACAACAACAACAACAACAACAACAACAACAACAACAACAACAACAGCAACAACAACAACAACAACAATCATTTTAAGACTGTTCGCCCTAATATGCTCGAGTGTCCAATAACGCGTATTTCCCAAACCCTCGATACCCGCCCTCTTCGTCTTCGATTGAACCCCTTTTGGGGGGTAGACCTTTCTTCCCTGCAGGCCAGGCCCCGGCAAGCGGCGGGGCGGCCGCGGACCGACGGCCTGGCCAGCGGCAGCGCTGATCGGCGGGGCGGCCGCGGACCGTCGACCCGACCCCAAGAGGGACAGACAGGGGACCGACCATGACGACGACGACGACGTCGAAGACGACGGCGACGACGAGCGAAAGCGAGAGCGAGAGAGAACGACAGCAGGGCCACGAAGGGCACGAAGTAGGCCACGAAGGGCGACAGCGGGGACACGAATGGAATGCGTATGGGGCCACGAAGAGTGCGAACGAGTGTGGGCCACGAAGTGCAGATAATGCGGGGCCACAGAAGGCAACTATGGGGCCACTGAGGGTAGCAACTGGGCCACGTAGGACAATGAGGGGGACACAAAGGGCGACAGCGGGGCCACGAAGGGCATGCACATGGGGCCACAACAGGCGCGACTCCTGGGTGCCTGGGTGTCGGGAGCGCGGCGCTTGGGCAAAGTGCAGGAAATTCCAACGCAAGGCTATTCTTCAGGAAGTTGCAAGCAAGTCTCCAGCGAGAGCGCGACTCCAGAGCTCCGGGACAGCGATTCCTGAATCAATTGTAAGGAAGTCCCAAGCTAGAGCGCGATTCCTGAATAAAATGCGAGGACGTCTCGGGCGGGAGCGGGGGTCCTGCCCAAATTGTAAGGAAGTCTCAGGCGGGAGCCGTTGTTGTTGTAACCCGGGCGCCAGGGGGCCAGTTTGAGCAGGAAGACTTTCCCTGTCAAAAAAACGGGGTGCGAGCGTCGAGGGGCACACTTTGATTGAGAAAAAACAATATGCACCAGTGAGGGGTGATCAACAATAATAAATGAAAATTCTACTACAACAACAACAACAACAACAACAACAACAACAACAACAACAACAACAACAACAACAACAACAACAACAACAACAACAACAACAACAACGCGCGCCTGCCCGCCCAAGCGCGCCGAGCGCGCTGGGCTTCTGGGGCGTGTGAGCCCCGCGCCTGCGGAAAAATGCGAAGGCCCCCGCTGGGTCGGGGCCCCCTGGCCGGCTCTTGCACCCCTGGGCACACGGGCACCGACCCGACGCTTCTCTGGGAGGGCAGCCTCTCCTGCCGCTGGCGAGGCCACCCCCGTTCTGCTTCTGGTTCCGCCGGCCTCCGCCGTGGGCGAGAGAGACGAATAGAAGACGAAGCCCCCTCCGGAGAGCCCACGCCCGGCTCCAGTCGTCGGCAGCCTTCTGGCTGGAAGGCGCCACTGAGGACATCGTGGAAGTCATGCGAGTCTCCTTCGGAGCGATGCACTCATCGAAGAACCGCAGTGCGCCGCCACATTTCATCAGGCCCTTTCACCCCTCATGGACTGTGACCGATCACGGCCGATGCAGGCAAGCCCATGGAGCCGGACCAACCCACCACTCCACCCCTCAGGTCAGAGGCTGCAGAGTTACGTCGTTATAGAGTCTAAGGGCTCGTCTGCTCTGGCGGATTCTTCCTTCTCCACAAAACGAACCTTCTGAAGAAGGGGAACGGCAACGGGAAAAGGAAGGGGGACGCGGACAGCCGATGATCGCACACGATGGTGGTGGAATGCGCCACGCCGAGGAAAAAACAGATGCGGACTCCAGCGCCCCCATGGCAAAACATCGCCCTGATTACGGCGATGCAACGCCACTAGAAGAGAACTTGCGCGTGCGTGCCCCTGACTGGCGATGCCGCCGGGACTCGCACGGGTGCCCAATGCGGGTGGGGGAAAGCAGAAGGGGAGGAAGAGAAACAGATAAGGGAGGGATTAGCACATGGGTGCTAAAGGTATGCGCGCACAGTTGGTGCACCCTAGCCGGTGCGTAGATGGCCAGCTCAGGTGCTTAAAGATTCACATGTGGACGGCACCTGGGACTCACAGCGGGCGCGTGGTCCAGGCTGTGTGGAGAGGCCCTAGGGGCGGCGGCCTGGCCAACTGCCGGGCAGGGAGCCCCCCGCCTGAGCCAGCAGTAGTGCTGGGGCTGCCAGACAAGCCAGTCAAGCGGAGGCCGCCTGGCTTGCACCGACCGAGGGGGAAGAGAAAAGCGCCGCGCACTGCAAGGTGCCTGCGCCATAAGGGGCCTGCAGGGCGTGCCGACATGTAGGTGGCCGCCGAGCCTGCACCGAGGCGGGTAACAGGCCGGGTGTACCGCCGGCGAGCGTAGGCGGGCGCAAACACACACACACACACACACGACGCGCGCGCGCGCACGCACGCCTCGCTCGGCGAGCACCGCGCCGCGACGCGCCGTCCAGACGTCCCGCAGGGGGGCGCGGGGACCCACACCCACACACACACACACACACACACACACACACACACACACTTTTTGGTCGCACGCAGCTGGGGCGAAAGTCGCAGGAGCGCTCAAAGAGTCACAAAGTCGGGATAAGCGAGGCCACCAAGGATCGACCCTGGAGAGCCAGCAAGTGCCGGGGGGGAAGCGCCGTCCCCTCACGGGGCACTGGCGGGGGTCGGAGGGGAGCGGGCAGCGCCGGGACGCTCGCGGGGCAGTGGCGGAGGGCCGAGGGGAGCGGGCAGCGCTGGAGAGAAGTGGGCGGGCGGGCCAAGCGAGCACTCACACGCAATCCTTCCCTTCCTCTCCTCCCCTACCGAGCAAGCACGCAGAGGGGCCGGGCCTCCGAAGGAGAAGCGTGCGAGGACTCGCCGACCAGCTCCGGCGACGGGGACCGCGACACCGCCTCGCGGCCCTGCCCGTCCTGGTCGAGGCAGACCGCAAGCGCATGGTGGTCGAAGGTCCAACACTCCAGCCTCCGCACCACGAAGTCCTCGCTGGTGGCGATGGCGGCAGCGGCGACGTTGGCAGCGGAGAGGTCGGCTGCGACGGCGACGGCACTGCGGCGGCGGCCGCGACCGCGACGCACCACGAACTCCTCGCCCGACCTCAGCGGCAGCAGCGGCGACGTCGGCGGCGACGTCGGAGGCGACAGCGGCGGCGGCGGCGGCGGCGGCGGCGCAGCACGAAGACCTCGCCCAACCTCGGCGGCAGCGGCGACGTCGACGGCGATGGCGGCGGCGGCGACTGCGGTGGCGGCGGCGGCGACTGCGACAGCGGCGCACCACGAAGTCCTCGCCCGAGCGCGGCGGCAACAGCGGCGGCGTCGGCGGCGGTGGCCGCGCGCCGCGGGGTCCTCGCGCGAAGTGAGCGGCCCCGTAGTGCCAAACGTCTGGGGCCGCGGTCCGCCGGCCACCCCGAGGGCCACGGGGGGAGGCCAGGAGCAACCAGGCGGACCCTCCGCCGCTCTCTCGCAGAGCTCGAGGAGCTGTAAAAGGTAAACTCTTCTGCCTGTCCCGGGGCTGCTGCAAAGGCTATGCCCCCTACGGCGGCACGCGGGGGGATAAGCTTCCTGACCGTCCTGGGACAGGCGCCTCCCCCATGGTGGAAAGCTTAGTTTCTACCCTTCTGCGCCCGCTGATCCCGGGAGCTCCGCCGTCACGAAGCACAGAAACCAGCATCGCGGACACCACGACCGGAGCCCAAAACCCCTCTGTCTTCGGCATGCTTTCGAGCCAGATCGGTCTGCGGGGGCCCCAGGGGCCGGAAACGGTAGGAAAACGCCCGGCTGAAAACGCCCAGATCGCAGGGATCGCAACGTGATCGGGGGGGGCCCTCTACAGTACCGTCGGGGCGTTGACCTAAGGAACCCTAAATAAGGAACGAGGCCCCTTTTTTCCATAAGTTGAACTTCGATTTCTCATCGAAAACATAAGGAAACCCTGAGGCAAGCTGCAAAACAACTAAGGAACACCGAGCCCCTCCCCAACGAAAAGGGTTCCTTCTTCAGGGCCCCGACTGTAGGTCCGCCCGCCTTTCTGCCGGCGGCGAAACCTAGAGGCGCCTGGGTCGGCCCTCTTCCGGACAGGACACCCCTCCGTCAGGCGGGTGGGGCGGCCAGTGGGCGGGGCGGGGCTGGCTGGTGCACCTCCGGATCAAGTTTGTTCAGGAGTTCCTGCGCCAGTGACCACCCAAAGAAAAAATAGAAGACAGCAGGATGAGGACCTATGGCAGACCCTCCAGAGGCCAAAAGATGCGTGAGAGTCAAACAGAAGTGCCCAAACAGAAATCTTCAAAAGTCCGCGCGGATTTCCTGAGCCGGCGCTGGACCCCCCTCCCAAGACACCCTGTCGCCAGCGCGGGGAGCACGCTGGAGGCGGCGCTGCAGGCGCCAGGGGACGCGGGGAAGGGCGCCCACCGCTAACCCAAAGAAGTCCGCGCAGAAATCCGAAAGGTTAGGCTTCATCAAGTGAGGATACCGCGGGTTCGTGTCGTGTCGACGCCAGCGCTGGTTCCTGAACGATCGGCCGCTTCCGAAGCGCAGGATCGCTCAACGATGGGCCGATTCTGGGCCATGGGCGGCTTTTAACCTTAAGCGACCGCGTTGGGGTCGCCGTCGGTCAACGCAACGCTATGTTGATTACTTTTGATCGTTGGATGGCCTTCTACATCGGCGCTACGGAAGTTTTGACCCGTTTCGTGCTCCCGCCAAGACAGCGCAGGACGAAGGTCCCAATGATGGGTGTGGAAGGGGAAGGAGGACCAGAGGACCGTTCCCACCCCTGTAGCTGCTACGCTAACATCGAAAAATCAAGGTGACACAATGCAGGTTAGAGTTTTGGCTCCCAGCCTCTGCTCCCGATGGAAGCGCGGGGCTGTCGGCCACCCAACCGCGTGACGGCTCTTCGGCCAAATGGAAGTCAGAAGGGGAATCAAGGTGCAGCCTGCGGCGAGGTACCCCGAAAGCGAAAGCGACCCGTGCCTACGACACGCGCCCGCGACTCGCACCAGAAAGCCGCACTCGCGACCGGCGTCCGCGACCAGAACTCGCGACCAGTCTGCGACCCGCGCTGGAGACCGCGACCGCGACAGGCGACCTGCGCCCTTCTTGGTTGCCTCTTTGACTGGCTTCCTGCAGAACGTGCCCGGTCTGGCGGCCCGAATGGCTGTCTCATGAATGCTCATAGCCCCTGTGGGGCCACACTGCCAGTGGCACCACTCCTGATAAGCAGCAGTACGGAATCGGGAGTGTTTGAGCTAATTAGCACTTGAGCACCAACGGGATGTGAGTACCCCGCCGCTTGCGGGACCACATTGCCAGTGAACGCCACTCCTGACAAGCAACAGTACGTAATCAGGATTGTTTGAGCCAAGCAACGCTTGAGCACCACAGTGACTATGAGCACCCAGCCGCCTCCAACCATCGGTCTCCAGTCAATCCCACCACCCTTATATTCCTAATCTGCCCACCCGATCCTCCCTCCTTCGTTTATGATTCCACAACTTGCTACCTCCTCTCCATCCTTCCTTCCTCCACACCCTTCCATCCCTGGATACCTCCACCCGTCAATTCATCGTCACTCCTTGCCTCCATCCTCCCTCCCGCACTGCCCGAATCCATCCAGCTATGAATTCGTCCCTCCTACATTTTACCCACCCCGGTTTCCTGACTGCCTCCCTCCTTCCTCCCTCCATCCCTCTTCCCATCATCCCTCCTGCATCGTCCCTGCTCCCTCATCTCTCCATGCCTTGTCACTCCTGCCTGCCCCCCTTGATCATTCCACGTATCCGCCTTTCCTCGCCCCTCTCTCCATCAAATCTCCCTCCAACCCTCATCAAATCCTCCCTCCTCGATCATCCCTCACACCTCCTTCCTCCTCCCTATATCCGCAGGTCCTCCTCCTCCCGTCTGACGCCCTAGTCCTCCTCTCCTCCTCCTCCTCCTCCTCCTCCTCCTCCTCCTTCCTCCTCTCCTCCTCCTCCTTATCATCGTCAGCATCATCATCATCATCATCATCATCATCATCATCATCATCATCATCATCATCATCATCATCATCATCATCATCATCATCATCATCATCATCATCATCATCATCATCATCATCATCATCATCATCCTCCTCCTGCATCGTCCCGCTCCTCCTCCTCCTCCTCCTCCTCCTCGATCCTCGCTCCTCCTCCTCCTTCTCCTACTCCTCCTCTTCCCCGCGTTATTCTTCCTTATCCTCCTCCCGCGCCTCATCATCATCTGCCTCTTCATCTTCCTCCTGCTCCTCCTCCTCCTCCTCCTGCTCCTCCTGCTCCTCCTCCTCCTTCTCCTCCTCCTCCTCCTCCTCCTAATTACCTCCTCCCCGGTGTTCCTCCCCCTCCTCCGTGGAAAGATCTGCGAACACATACATCGGTAAGCGGTTCAAACCTGGACGGCATGCTGCAATCCCTTTGTCAAGGCAACTCGCCTGGAGAATTTGCTACATGGCCCGCGGGGGACGCGAAGTGTCAAGAATTGTAGGCTGGGGAATGCAGTTCGCCATGGCCCCAACGGTCGCTTCATGAAGTGTTCACATGTCCACGGGATGGTAACCTGGAAGAAAGGCCTGCTCCGCCTTAACGACGCATCTGATGGTGCAACGACGAAGAATAACTTCACGCCCCCTGCAGGCGGCCTGCTGTCGGGAAAACCGCGTGGGAAAACGGAGCCTCGATCCTGCACCGGATAAGTTCCGACTTGTGTATTGGAGGAATTCCTGGGCGGGAGCGCCACTCCGAAGTCGAACAAGAAAGGTTCGGAATGTTTTCGAGGAAGTCCTGGGCGGGAGCGCCATTTCGAAATCGATCACGCAGGTTCGAATCCTGTGTTGCAGGAAATCCTGGGCGGGAGCGCTATTCCGAAATCGAACCAGACTGGGTTCCAAGTCTTGTTTGGAGGAAGTCTTGTGCGGGAACGCCATGTCGGCATCGAGCCCGAAAGGTTTCGAATTCTGCCTTGGAGGAAGTCCTGGGCGGGAGCGCCATTTCGAAATCAAGCTGAAGAAGTGCGGACCTCTATTATCAAGGATGTCCTGGGTGGGAACGCCATTTCGAAATCGAACTAGAAAGGTTTCCGATTCCAGTCTTCAGGAAGACCTGGGCGGGAGCGCCATTTCAAAATCGAACCAGAAAGGGTTCGAATGCTCTTTGGAGGAAGCCTTGGACGGGAGCGCCATTTCGAAATCCAACCAAAAAGATTTCGAATTCTAGTTTGGAGGAAGCCTTGGGCGGGAGCGCCACTTCGAAATGGAACCCGACAGTTTCAAAATGGTTCGAATTTGTTTCTTGAAGCCTCAAGCGAAACCGTCGTTTCGAAATGACCACACCGTTTAGCATTTGAAATTTGGAAGTTCTGGCCCGATATATCGAAAATGTGGTTTTCGTTCGAGACTTCCTCCAAGAAAACAGTTTCGAAAGATTTCGAAACTTTCGGGTCCGATTTCGAAATGACGCTCCCGCCCAAGAGTTCAATCAAAATGGTCTCGACTGGATCTCGAAACCATCGGGTTCGAATTCGAAAGGCCGGTTCCGCCCGAGACTTGAGCAACACATTGCTTGAACAGAACATTGTACTGGGGCCCCGCGGCCTAACGGGCCCCGTTGACGTCTCCTATCTTGTCGTGGGCGCAACGCCACTGACAACGTTGTACCAAGGCCCCGTCGCCTAATAGGAGGCGCTGCATTTGGGCCGAACATTCGTAGCGGCGAAATACAAATTCCTCTGGAGTCTCAGCATGCGAACTGCCAACTTCCCAACTGATAGGAAGGTGGCTATACCGTGCCAGAGCTGGCCAGAAGAGAAGGAGGAGGAGGAGCAGGAGCAGGAGCAAGAGGAGAAGGAGGAGGAGGAGCAGGAGAAGCACGAGGAAAAAGATGAAGAAAAAGAGGAAGAGGAAGAGGATGAGGATGAGGGAAAGGAAGGAGGGAGAGTAGGGGGAGGGCGAGGAGGAGAAGGAGGGGAAGAGGAGGCGGAAGCAGGAGGAGGAGGCGAGGGAGGGAGGAGGGCAGGGCGAGAAGGGGGATTTTGCTGAAAAAGGGGAAGAAGCGGACGGAGGAGGAATGAGGAGGGGGAGGAGGGGGAGGAGGAGAAGCAGTAGCAAAAAGAGCAGGAGAAATGGAAAAGCGAACAGGGAGGGGAAGGAGGAAAGGGAAGGGGAGGGTGAGGAGGAGGAGGAGGAGGAGGAGGAGGAGGAGGAGGAGCGAGGAGCGAGGAGCGAGGAGCGAGGAGCGAGAAGGAGGAAGAGGAAGGAGGACGAGGGCAGGGTCTTCTGGCTGGCTGCGGGGGGGGGCCCTGGCTCCCCAGAGGCGGTCCGGCCGACCGCGGGTCTGGGAGGCAGCCGAAGACCCCACAAGCAGGTCCCTGCCGATCCAGAAGGCGTACCCCAGGCCTCCTCTCGGCGGCACACAGGACGTTGGAGGACGCAAACATACACCACTCGGGGGGGGGGGCAGGGCAGGATAGCAA